TGAGGATGCTTCCATATACATGTAAAAATGACTAATCATTCCCTTACTCTTCTTGAAAAGAAGATTTTTAAAGATTTTTCATGTGTATACCTACGTAAAAATTTGATCGCCCACTGTGGCCTCTCCCAAACCCCAGGGGTCATGATTTGAACAAACTTGATTCTACACTAGGATGCTTCTATATAAATATCACCAATCATGGCTTTTCTGTTCTTGAAAAAAATCTTTAAAGATGTTTCCTATACTAGTATATTTCTACGTAAATCTTTGTTCGCTCATCTGAACCCACCCTAGCCCCAGGGGTCATGATTTGAACAAATTTGAATCTACACCACCTGAGGATGCTTCCTTACAAATATATAACCAATCATGGCTTTGTTGTTCTTGAGAAGAAGATTTTAAAGATTTTTCCTATATATTTCAGTGTAAAACTTTGTTCGCTCATTCTGACCCCACCCTAGCCCCAGGAGTCATGATTTGAACAAATCTTAATCTACACTACTTTAGTGTTAGTGTGCTTCTATGTAAATATAACTAATCATGGCTTTGCTGTTCTTGAGAAGAAGATTTTTAAATATTTGTTCTATATATTTCTATGTAAAAATTTGATCGCCCATTGTGGCCCGACCCTACCCCCAGGGGTCATGATAAACTTAATCTACATTATGTCAGAATGCTTTCACAAAAGTTTCATCTATTCTGGCCCAGTGGTTCTTGAGAAGAATATTTTAAAATATCTCCACCCAATTTTCACTATTTCTTAGTTATTTCCCCTGGAAGAGGGTGTGGCACTTTATTTGAGCAAGCTTTAATCCTCTTTACCCAAGGATACTCTGAATTTAAATTGGTTCATTGGTTCTTGAGAAGAAGATAAAGATATGAAAAGTTAACGACGACAACAATGACGACAAGGACAGACAACGGACAAATTTTGATCAGAAAAGCTCACTCGAGCTCAGGTGAGCTAAAACAATTAAGGGTCATATTAACCTTCTTATACAACATTCAATTTTTGGTTTATTGGTGTATTTAAAAAAATATATTTATTCTCTGTCTCTCGGTCTCTACTATCTCATTTTCTCTCTCTCTCTCTCTCTCTCTCTCTCCTTTTGGTTATTTCTTAATGTATCTGTGGAATGCAGATTGAAGTCACTTTGATTATACAATGGTCGTATTTTGTTGACAATGTGCCATGTGGGACAAACTTCAAACACGGTCTATAAATTATCGTTTTACGAGACAAAATTCAAACAATAATAGTAAGGAAAGAAACTATAAAAACGCTTATATTGTTATTCTTTGATTCTATTTGAAACAATGATAAATATATCTTGAACTCGATACCATTGTGGTACTGGTACAGGAGTGGCACCAGTAAAATGACATCATGTGATATCACTTAAAATTATATATTTAACTGATAATCATTTCTCTAATGAAAACAAATAAAATATGTTCACCCTTTGATGAGTATACATGCACTTCGACATATTATATTTATATTAGTGTTGTTAAAATCTTTAAGTCAAACATTTTCCATATTGGCAAAGCTGTATGGAGCGTCCTTGATTTTTTTTTAATATTTAAAAATAGACATCAAAAGAGCATCGTGACATAAATGTGCTTAACCATATTCAAGAAGTGGTGTAAATCAAATGTGGGATTTTAACTCTAAAACCCTTTTTAAAAAATGATTTTTTTTTTCAAAATCAAAAGCATCAAATCGTACGACTTTTCTACACTTGATACAACCATTCCTCATGATAAATTATCGACTAGGATTTTTTTGACATCAAAGACAACTGATCATCAATTAAAATATAACTCGTAAATTTCCATATCTTGTGTTTGGTCATTTACAAAATTCCTTCCATAAAATTTATTTTGATTCTACTCACAAGTACTCTGAAGATGCTGGAGTTGTTCAAAGACATTATCTATGAACTCTTTGAAGACCAGGTCTTCCAACAATCTGTTGGAATTACAATGGACACTAATTGGACTCCTTTGTAAGCCCACCCTTTTATCAACTTTAAAGCAAAATTTATTCCAAAAACTTCCACAGAAGAAAAAAAAAGCTCTTCCTGACACATTCAATTCGACATTTTATTAAAATACATCGACTACATTTTATCAAGTAAAAATAGACATTTTCATTCATATCGATAAATATCATTGAATTCGAAATTAAAGTCACGATAAAATCTGAACGTTTCATATTTGGATGTTTTATTGACTATAAACTTTAATCACCATATAACAAATTATTTATGCCAAACGGGATGACTTAAACTTTTCTATAGTCAACGTTATCAGCTTAAAATGAGATTGTTGAAAGCCCAGCAAAATTTAATTAACCAATTTTCATTAATCTGCCTCGGTATTTAAAAAGTATTTAATGTAATAAAACCTTATTATAATCTTATCATTTTCACCTTGATATGTAGAGAAATTCAGATACACATTGATTTTCAATGTCTTTCTTGACTCAGTTAATATCTACTTTTCAGCTACCCCTCCAAGACCTGTGCATGTCATTCATATTAAAGTTCTTGTGCAATATTACTTAAGCCCTTCTGATATGGTAAAATATTCAGAAAGCGCAGCTAATTTTTAAATTTCGCCCTGAAGTTATAAACTGAAAAAATGGCAAAGTTAAAATACACACATATGTGATTGAAATTCCTAAGATTGATTTATTAAAAAAAAGAAAAGAAAAGAAAGAAAAAAAACAGGACATTTCAATAAGAGATCCAGTTGTGTTATTTGTGTTACGGTTAAAATTGCGCTTATAAATTACGCAAAACGCATACTGTAGTTTTTTTAAACCCAATATTACTTCTATTTATAGAGCTTCTGTCCTTGAGACAGGTATTTAACTTTTTAGTGATTCTGTCATTAAAAACCTCATAATTCTATTTAACCATTTATTTAGTTGTTTTCTATGTTTTAAATAAATTTATACAAAGTGATTTCAATCTATAAACTATTTTTTATCACTTAAATCTTTAAGACTAAGAGGTCGTTGTATTGACATCCACTGTCCCTCTGAGAGTACGTGTTCGAAAGCGACACGTGGTATTTCAATGGTAGGATTGTTATGTTATTCTTATGTTTAATGAAATCTAAAATATCATATTCTAGATGTTAACAGTTTTATAAAGAACTGCAAACAATAGCATTGTTCTGCCACCTATACCTTCAAGTCAATTTTCGAGTTAACATATTTGTTTTTGTTTTTTCATATTTACTATTTACTTAGTTAAGAAAACAAAGAGAGATAACTCTATAATTTTCGTTAATCTCGTTTTTCACTCGAGAAATCAATGGAAAACGGAAGATATTTTTAAAACAACCCCTCCCGGGAAACAAAACTTCCTTTTCACAGGTATTTGAATTATTATTTAACAAATTCATACCAAAGCCTTTGTTGATTCGGCTGCATTTCATTATCGGAATTTTTTAATAATATACTCAACTTTTTATTTACGATATTTTATAGTTTTCGTTTACATTTTAAAGTTTTTATCCAACATTTATCATAAAGTACTTTTCCGGCAATAAAAAAATTAATTGAAGACTTCTTGGTGCAGTCACAGACATATAATTCAATGGACATTTAAGTGAACAGAAATTGCACGCTAATTTAACTCACACAAAACTTAAAAAATATCTTAGCGCTGCGTTAGTATATTGTAATGTTTTTATTCGGAAAAAGTGGCTTGAAATAAAGTAATATTCATTCAAGCAATGCTGCATTAAATTCTTATTTTTGGATGCCGTGGGTCCTATTACTCACCTGGCCGTGCCGACAAATTGAATACCGCGCGTTAGCGCGGTGTGAAAATTTGTCGGCACGGTCAGGTGTGTTATAGGACCGACGACATCCAAAAATAAGAATTTAATGCTTATATTTATATTCTCTTATTTTCCGTCTTCATAATTGTTTATTTCGTTAAACTTTATTATGAATTTAGCTTTTTCATAACTGGTGTGCTTAATAGACGTAAGAGACGTTTGTGACGTTGGGAAGTTAAATAACGCAAATGAACATTGCGAAAAAAAAAAAAAAGACAAATTAATTTTAAACGCATAGTTGTTGTATTTTACATTAATTTAACATGGTAGCTGGTTTTTTACTAAATTGAGTCAAAACAATATACATTTTGGTGTTCCTAGATATATTGAAAATGCATATAGTTCCTACTGTGTATTCTACCGTGCGGTGACAAGGTTTCGCGTGTGTTATAGTTGAACATCGTAGATTTCTAATGGATTTCATAAAGAAAATTACACTGAATGTAAATATATCCTGTTAAAATTTTATTTCTACCTGCTTGGTTAACATAAAATTGCCGGGGAAAAAATGGTTCAAAAAATCCGGAAATGTTTTTTTTTAAAAAAAAAAAAATACATAAATAAATAACGGATATGAAAATAAAAAATGTCAGAAATGAAAATTAAAAAAATGTTTGACATGCAATGCAAAATTCCGAAAAATGAAATGCAGTGGTTGTTTTGGGGGAGGGAGGGGGGAGACTAAAAAACGGTGAAAATAATGATTTTCTTACCAATTTCAGAGGAGATTACAACTTTAAAATGTACTAGTACTTTATCAATCTTATATGTTTTTACACGAGTTAAACATAACGAAAAAATAAATGGTCGTTTACTCATATCCATAACTATTTTAGAACCTTATTAAAGAGCCATTCAGAAAACAGGCTTTTATTATTAATTTGCCAAGGTTGATTCTTTGAAGCAGCAATAACTATGCTACCCATATCTTGACAGTTTAGAGAAACTCAATAATAATAATAGTTAAAAAAAATCAACAAATGCAGCACAAACCAATAAAAATCTTATCAATTTTGATTCAAACACTCTGACATGATGAAAAGGAATGGTCTGTGATTTAATGTGTGTAACACACAATCCTTCAAATAATGGCCTCAAAATGCTGGGTTGGTCATTGAACTCTGAGAGACAACAAATCAATCTGAAGATTTAATTTATTTATTATAACATGTCTATATATGGAATGTGGGTAAAACTTGTATTTCCAACAGATTTGTTTTAATTGCAGCATTGAATGTGATTAGAATTGTCTACTATAGCCTGTCAATAAAGAAGCATTTGAGAAGGAAATAAGTTTTTTTCCTCAGCACCAATAGAATCAAGTCACTTAATGCAATTGATCTGGTGACACCTTAAAGCCATAAATCAGACTAGCTAGGCCATTAACATGAGAAACCTGCTATTTCAATACAAATTTATTTTACTTTCATGTATAAAATACTGGCATTTTAATTAACAAAAGTACAAAGCAAATGTTTTAATTAATTTCTACATTTCAATAATTAGAAGATTTCAATTCCAATCCTAACACCTTGTGAAAATAGCATGTCCTACCATATGACATAATAGCTAATAGTAATTTTTCCTGCAAGAAGCTATTGTTTGTACAACTTGTACTCTGTGAATAAAATGATACAAGATAAAAATACAAAATTAACCTAGTGAGGCATAATAAAGCTGTAAAATTTAGATCTATGTCATGCTTTAACAATATATTTGACATCTGTTACAGACTTAAGCCTTTTATGCACTTTCAGAAGCATATTGATGAAGTGTAAAAGCTAGTGAATGTTTCAAATCGAAGTTAGAAGCTGTACCTAATGCTGCTTTCACAATTCAGTTGGTCTACTTGATGTACATAAAATGCTATGATACTTCAAGAAAAGTCACATTTCCATTTTAAGGCAAACTTTAAGACCACAAAAGAAAATAATGCTGTAAGGAAAATGATTTTTTTAACAAAAATATTTTAATTAAAAAAAAAGTGTAGGCATTATATTAATTCAAAAATAGAGCAAATTATTTACTTAATAAAGACATTAACACAGGGAGCAGAAAGGTTAAAATAAAATCTGTTTTTACAGCAATGTACTTGTTTTATTTTAGTACTTCCTGACAGAATGTTCCAAGATAGGTAAATTAAAACTAAACAATATAATTCACAACCTTTTACAGGAAAACAAAATATATATCACAGTTGTTTTATAACATTGAACATTCTGGACAGTAAAACATACAACAAACAAAATATTATACTTTCACACACATCAATAATAAATTGATTCTAAAACTTCAGTTTAAAATGTATGATAAATCTGTTCTGTACCTCCCTCACTCAAACTTGATAAAACTCTTCATGAGAGAGCTGACAATGTTTCCTGGCATGATTCAAATTCTAAAACTTCCTTGGTTCAACCTGAGAATGCCACATTGCTATTTCTGTAACAGCAGTGACATAAAGCCTAGTACAAGTATAGACTTAAACATACAAAACAAAACAAGTGAACAGAAAACAATAGCTTTTGGATTTTGCAAGGACGGATTTCAATATAAAATTAAACTTGCTCAGACATGTACATGGTCTTTTAAAACCATATTTCTATCTCACCCAATAAATAAAATTGATACTAGTAAAAAAAGAATTTAAAAAACGGACGGCTGTTTATTTAGTAGTGTTTTCAACTATAAAATATTGAATCTTCAATCACCACTCACACAAGTTATATCTGTAAAGCCTGTAGATATACTTTGTATAGTCACAAATCCAAAATTTTCAAATATCATTAAAATTTTACACAGAACATAAAATCCTCTTACAATGGAGATACTGTATAAACTTCTGGATGAAATAAACATATTGCAGACTCAGAACTTAGTCTTCATGATTTGCTTACATCTCTATTTGAATTATTTAACATTAATTTTAGGAAAATACAAGTCCAGCATCTGTTCCAGAGGTTGAAGTGTCAGTACCCTGTAAAATTCAGGAGCACAGTTACCACATGTACCGGTAGGTTTAGCAGAAATTATTTAAGAAGTTACATATTTGAAAGAAATATTTCCAAATTTCCATGCTATAATTTGTATATGAATTCCATGCTATAATTTGTATATGAATTCCATGCTATAATATAATGATTTCTAATAAGCAGCTATACTTCCTCCTCTAAGCCAAACAGAGCAAACAAGCCTCTCAGTGTCCTGCACTTGATGCTGTGTCAGTGAGTTTATTTTATTTCAATTCATATAAATGGCATTTATATCATATCAGAATTGTTTTTTTGTGAAGAAGTGCAGATCTCAAAAACAAAGAGTAAGAGAACAATTCAATAATAAAACTATTAGTAAGTGTAATACAAGGCTTTGGAAAATTTGAGGAGAGGAATTTTGTTAGCAATATTGTTAAGCTTGTGCAATCTTTCCGTTTTATTTTTTCCAATAAAATATGTATCAATATTTATGTGCCAATATTTGATCATAAACACATTTTCTGAAGCTCTGTCATTTGTAAATGTGAATTCCTTTAGAGTGTCTAATGGCCTTATTTTCATTGAGATTTGATTTGTGCACTTTCTAACAAGTCCTTGCCCTTGCTTGATGAAGTGCATTTAGCACTACTGGCAGGGCTAGACAAATAGCATTGCCCGACGCCCGGGACAACCAATTTTGTTTAGTGGGCAAGTTATTTGATAAGTGGTGCCTGCCCGCGGACAAGTGCTTTTTCCCATTTACAAAAAATCATATACTCAATATGTCTTTTGTGTTACCGCTTTTAAAATATCATGAATCACAACAAAGCATCTGTTTTCGCTGCTGTTGACCACTATTGAATACTCGGTCGGAACTTCTCTAGAATTTACCCATGAATGTGTTGTTAAAATAAACGCAAGTCGTAAAACATGACATCTTCCGATGTCGTCAAAAAAGTTGAATTGGATTTTAGACTTTTTTTAATTGACAAAATATTAAATTCATTCTGTGAATACAGACGTGCTACTGTTATTAAAATTGGTTGTTGATTGGCAATCACATAGTCATGAAGTCGATAGCTCAATCGGCATGCAGTATTGTTCACAGATTTGTCTCATTTGTAGGTTTTTTGAGATCATCTTCACCTTTTTCATTAAATTTATTCAAAGAAAGTATATGGAGTATCTTATTGAAGAATTTTGAGGAGAATAGAATGAAACTTTGACTTTACCAATGCCCTGAAAATATCGAAAGAAATCTGGGAGAATTTAGTGATTTTAGATCTAGGTTTGATTCCCGTGTAGTGTCTCAGTTGAGAAATAATTTAATGTTAATGATTTTGTTTAAATTAAGAAACAGGTCGGACAAACATATTTTTTGGTAGGACAAGTAATTTTATGATGATAACCTGTCCGAGGGCAAGTAATGCAAAATTCTATTTGTCTACCCCTGCTACTGGTATTGATATTAATATATAAGTGGAAGAATAATATCTTCTATTGTTCATATCTTCCCAGTCTTATTCATGTGGAATCTCCTATATCAAAAATGGTTAAATGTGTACATGTTTTATAATACTTAAATTAAGCAAGTACAAAAATTGTTTTGATTTAGGCATTTGGCATGTGCCAGTGTTGAACTGGTTTGGTTACCCTGTGACAATAGCCCAACCATCTCTATTTGACTTTATTAGTAAGTGGTTGGTGACTGTTGGAAGTGTGTACCTGATCGAGTGCGCCCTGTGTGTTGATCAAACTGCAAGCTGTTGTAGAAATTGAAATTTAAAGATTCATCAGGGACCGCAGACCTGTGATACAAAATCAAACACAGTGAAAGGGTGCTCATATCATTAACCCCATTACCTACAGGCACTGCAGAGAGAAAAAGCATTCTTATTACCACGATACAGTATCTCAAAACAGGTTAGTTAAAACAAAATTTAACTGCAGTCTTCAATTTTAGGATAAAATACAAGTTTGAAATTTGCATAAAAATATCGTATAACTGGTATTTTCTGCGGTTGTCCAATTTTTGCTGAATTTTGCAGATAGGACAAATCCCAAAAATTACAAATGCAAAATATTTCTCCAACATTAAATCAGATAATTCACGAATGCAATTTAGGTGTATGTCAGTCAACCTGATTTATTGTCATTTCATAAGTACTTACACTATATTCTAAGAAAAAATATTTCTTAGGATGTTAGAAAATAATTTATGCAGACTAACTAAATGATAGAAGAGGTTAGTACCAGCTAGTTCCCATGCACCTTTGATACACAAATCTTTAAATGAATTTAAAAAACGTATATATGGCAGTGTTATACCAAATCCTTAACATTTGGTATTCATATTCCGTAAATAAATTTTTACAGTACATATATAATGCAACCGCAAAAATTGAAAATGCAGAAATTAATTTGCTATCTTTCAGGGGTCAAATCGCAAAAATTTCCAACCACAGAAAACATCTGTTATACGGTATTTGACTGTTAACAATAAAATCATATTGATGCATTTTTGATTCTAAGGTGGTTTTCTTTTTATTGTCAATTTAATATCTGTGCGAATTCTTGTATGTAAATAAATTTCAGGAGACATCCCAATTTTATGCAGATTAGTGCTTTCTTTTGATGCAAAAGACTAATCCTTTGTTCCTCAGTATTAGTATAAAGAGAAGACACTGAGTCATAGCGACGTGCTTGCACAAACAAATTTCTAGCAGCTAAATTTCCACACCCAGCAGTACTAAAAACAAGATATCTGTTTTTGTACGTTACACAAAAGCTGAATTAAGATTGGAACTTCACAGTATCTTGACTGGGCTAAAAACAAAAATTAAAGAAAGATAACTCTAGTTTCAGTAGAGAAATGAACTTTACAATGGGTTGTTAGGCTTGGGCTTGACAAAATAATTATCATAAAATGACACGGCCAGGTTAATACACATTAAAACTCAGGGAATGAGGGTACAAAAACACAACATAAGGAGCAACATCTGGGAATAAGGTCATCAAATTTTAAACTTACATCTAATAGAGATAAGGCACACTGTGGCACCTACTAAATGCATATAAGTTCAATTATTCATAAAACAGTATTGAACTATCATATAAGCAAACACATTCCAAACACATGCAAGACAAGATTGCTTAAAATAACCATAGACTTTAAAGCATTTCAAAATTCCGATTTCTGTCAAACTGTACTGGAGAGTACAGAAAAAAACTGACAGGTCACAACCCCATAAAAGCATGCAATTCTGCTTATCAATAGCTTTGGCATCTCTTATTTCAATAATGACAAATAGAATTCCTCAAAGTAAAAAACATCTTCTTATCAGCAGCTTACCTTTGGACCCTATGAGAACTGGGGAGTTTGCGTGAGTGTGGGGGTTGTACTGGGGGTTTGGGGGCGTACATCTGTATAGCACTCTCTATATCCTGATCCTGTTTCTGTTTCTGTACGGCGTGGGCCTGAGCTATCATGGCCTGGTGTTTAGCTTTACTCTGCTCCATCATGGCTTTACTTTGCTGTTTTAGAGCAGCCTGCTGCTGCATTATCTGAAACTGTTTACTAGAATGAGATGCTGTATGATAGTTGCTAGGCAACACTCCCGTGACCTGGTTATATGCATGAGCAAGGTCATTTTGCCAGGTTGTTCCATTTGAGTCTTCTATAAAACTGTTAAAAGTTGCATTGGCACTCCGTAGATTCACATTTGATTGAACAGGTTTTCTTGATCCTGAAGCTGATTTGACCTCCACCCTTCTATGACCTTGACCTGAGGGTGGCCTATTTCTGATGTCCTCTGTGATCCCATTAGATGAATTATATTTGACACTGTCTTGGGGTCTGGAATAGTTATCACTTCTTGTTTGTTCTGGATACACTGTTGTGTTTGTCTGCATCCTGTCCCCAGCAGCACTGGTATATCCAGTAGATGAAGGAACCATTTTGTCAAAACTATTGGGTTTGCTGACCGTGTAAGTAGTATCCACTAAGGAAGAGTTACTGCCATACTGCGGCATGTCACCCTGTCCAATCCTCTGGGAGGAGGAACTTCGTGACTCATCATTTATCATGCTTGTTCCATTATAGGCAGAATACTGACGAGCTTGTTGGCGGAGAGCCAACCTCTGTAGAGCATCATGTATGGCCTGGTCATTGTAAGAATCTGTGAACATCAAAGTAATCTATTAAAAGCAATATTTATGGCATCATTTACATAAAAAACATCACCAAAGACCTTTTAGTACAAAAACCATATCTGCTTGAACTTTCAATAAAGTGTGACAATCTCGGCGATACATAATTAGCGTCTCTCAAATGGTGACCTAGATTCTCATTGGTTAAGAAATTCATAACATTAGCAACTTTAGATTGTTGTTAACAAACAATGAGATGACATAAGCCACACCTCTTTACTGTAAGAAACGATAAAACCGCTTCCTTGCGTCACTCGTTGACATCTGAACCATTTTTATTCCATGTGTATTTCACCCGTGAATGAAAAGCTGTGTAAATTTCAGTGTTGATGAGCTAATCTGGCAACCAATGAGAATCTAACTCACTATTTGAGAGACGCTAATTATATATAGCCGAGAATATCACGCCTTACTGAAAGTTCAAGCAGAAATGGTATTTGTACTAATCTGTCTTCACCAGCCCGTGCTTCTGAACTGCTAGCCTCCTCACAGAACCAAAATCCTCCAGAAGAGTGATTGGACTTTATTGACCAATCAGCAAGTGTATTCAGAGCTTAAGGTTAGAGGGATATCTCTGTTTAAATTTTTTCTTGACTCTGAAGTCTAGGCAATGAAACCCTTAACAGTATGTGTACATGCATTGTGATCTGGTTTCTAATTGCAGATAAATAGGTTTATTTCCTATGTAGCTTGTAACATGAGTTTTGATTGGTTACAAAGTCGGGTGTAAATTTTCATACACCCGACTTGAGCCGGAGGTAAAAAATGTGACGTCACAATGCATAGTTTCTCTTGATAAAAAGCAAATAACATGACGTCACGATGCATTGTAGGACGTAGTGAATCTTATCGATAGTTTGAAACACAGTTGATTGGACTTGTTTACAAAGAATTTATTTGGGTACATAGGATATAAATTTGTTATCCAGGTCCAATCAAGGGTGTACGGGGATTTACCCCGGGTTGTATTCCATACACCCTTCGGCCTCAGGGTGTATGGAATACAACCCAGGGTAAATCCCTGTACACCCTTGATTGAACCTTGATAACTAATATTGCACATTATCAAACAAACATCGTTTAATACCTGCTTGTTGAATATTTTTTAAATGCTTCATTTTTTTTTTAAAACACTCTTTCTGTCAATGACCCAAGCTGTGTGTATGAGGTAAAATTGGAGATCATGTGACTTAAACAATCCTGCCTTCTAAAAGCATAACAGGTCATGGGTTTGTGAGGAGTGAGACCAATCAGAAGCTATAAAAAATGACTTTGATAATACTAACAGGACTATTGTGACACAAACTGATACGTGTATTACTTGTATGTTTGAAGATATATTTACCAACTGTTGGATTAGTAGTGGCGTAAGGATTAGCTGACGAGGGACGATTCATAGCTGACATCGGCCGACTGAAAGACTTAGCTATGACACCTGTTATTAAATAAAATAATGATATTTATAGCATACTGAATCACTTAAATTCTACCAGGTATTGATTAAATATAAAATAAACAAAGGTAATGAAAATAGCATTCAATGAAATCAATCAATTAAATTATAAGATAAATACATTTTACTTCTATATATGACTTATGAAATTACACTTCACTTACAATATGTCTACTGACAAGACATTAATGGTTAATTCTTCAAGGTACTGAAGATAAGAAGTACAGTAAAGGGTGTACAATATTTACACAGCCAGCACTTAAAACAGTCTCAGACATAAATTTACAACACTAAAAAGAATTACATTTCAAGAAAATAACTGTGTGAAAACATAAAACCTGCACCAAAGAACTTCAGAGCAAAAATAAAGTTTGAATACTAGTGGATCAGTAACTAGATGTTGGAAAATCAGGAGCCAGAAAATAAAATGACACTTTTCTGCAGGTTTACAATCTTTCCTACCTGACCCAGGTGTATATTTTGTAGGAATAGGTATGTGTGTATAATCCTCTATAAACAAACAAAAGTTTGCAATTCTTAGGAAAAATTATTTATTAAACATCTCAAAGTTGTCTCTTCATTCAGTATAAAATGTTTGGTTCTTCTTACATCATGTTTGTGTGGGCCATAAGTGGCCAGCCAGTGATACACCTGAATGGTAAAAACAAGATGAAGCCTAGCTCCTAGCAAAAGAAAAGCCAGCATCTGAAAGCCAGCAAGTAATTTTACCTAAATCAAAATAGCAGTCTAAAATTACCACTTCATAAATGTCATTTTATATCAACATAATTCAATGTTTTTATTTTCATCAACTATTTTGAAATAAAGTGAATTTTTTTCCAAAATTAAACTCATTAAATTTTGCTACATGTACTTTGAAATAAAGGAAATAATTTTATGAATTACTCCAAATATTAATATCCTAAAGTCAAGCCTCAGTTCTTCTTCCTGTAAAGTGCTGCTCTTAGTAACTGAGTGTTAATAGCACATTGAACATAGCTTAAAGCCTCTATTTACAAGTTAAAATCTCAGAGCTTCAATACTTTACATATCAGCAGCATAATGCTGCTCTTTCCTAACATTCATGCTTGAAAGAACAGAGAGTGTCAGTGTCCATACAACACCCAGTCCCTACCTGTGGAGGAGTCTACAGAAGGTTTGGGAAGTGGGACTACATGGAGGATTAAATATAATAATATTAAAGGGATCAAGGTTAAGCACTATAATATTATATTTCAGAATACAAATATGTTATCATCAATCAGTACTTTGTCTTCTTGTCACACTCACTCAGAATGTAAAATACTTAAGACTAGATTTACTACATGTAATATTTAGAGTATGAGTTTCCTATTGTACGAGATACAGGGCAGGGATTAAGGGAGGAGTGTTAACTTGAGCCACGCCCCATCCTGTATCTCTCATACAATAGAAAACCAGTATTCTAAATGACTTGTGACACAACCTTTCCAATGACCTCACTAATTTACATGTTTATATGGGTATTATTTTAACCAATCAGATGAAGCCAATGCAATTTGAAATTTTGACAAATTGTTACAATTCTGTAGTTGATAAAGACGACCAAAAAAAAAAGTGTAGGTGCATGAGAAACGCTCTATCGTAGTTGTTGTACAGTAGACTTCAAAGGAAAACACCCGAGTTGTGTCACAAGTAATGCAACTAGACTGCTTAATGGATCATTTCCAAGTTAGATTTTTAGTTTTATTCTACAGGAGTTGCATCTGCATTGGAACTTAAGATATAATTTCTCAAATTTCAGTAAAATATTATGTTCTAGCATAAATAGGGGGAAAATCTGCCACATCCAAATCAAGTTCAATTTTCTTTTTAATAACAAAAAATAAGTCTACAGATGTTGATTTAGAATAAAAATATTTTGGGGAGCTAAATAAATGCTTGTAACAACAATATTTGTATATACATAGAAATTTCTGTCCCCCCACACATTACCTGTCCTGTTTCCAGCTGAGGTGGCTGATCGAGGTCGGTTGGAGGTTAGTTTCTGTGTGTATACCTGTACAGCGTTAGCATATGAAGATTGAGAAGGTGTGTGGTAAACACGTGAGTGTGGTGGCTCGCCATTCTGAGAGGTGGATCTAGTGGTGGCGGTGGTTGTTACATTGCTGTCACTAGCTAAAGAGAAATTTTTATGCGTGCCAGAAATTGCTTGTTGTCCTTCACATAGGTGATCAAAGCTCAGTGGACATTTATCTTACATAAGTTGTCTTCTGAGTTTAATAATATTTTTTGTATTTTCCTACATTAAATAAATGAACCAGTTTAATGTTCAGCAAAAAGGCATATAAGTATTCCTAATTTTCATTTCAGTGAAGACAAGACCAGAGATGTGTAGACAACAAACATTTCAATGTTTGATAGATCATATAATTTTTTAGCAAAGCTAGGAAAAATAATTGTTAAGCAGTTAGGGTTTGCTACTGAACAAAGTATATATGATAATTAAAAAAAATTATTAAATGACATCTCTATTATCGTAATTAAAATCTACTATCAAATATTTATTGATTCAATTACTAATAAAGAAGAAATCAATAAAATCTTTACAGGGATGAATACTGCTATTACATTTTCTTAAAGTGGCTGGAGTCATATGAGCTACTGTTACTACTATTACCTAGCCTACTTCTGTACACAAAAGCAAACATGGAAATGACGTACCAAACTTTGGTGTATCCTCCCAACCATTTAGAGTTTTAGGCGTAGCCTCTACCGTACCCTCAATCTCCTTTTTCTTGCCTACATTTGTATCTGAGCCAGACATGTTTGAGGACCTTCCTAGGCTACTAGAACCTGGCCTGTTCTGTAGTATGGAACTCTGTCTAGAGATGGGGGGTCGACTGGGGGTAGCATTGGAGGGACGTGTGGGACCGCCTGAGGGAGGTCTGGAGTGTTGGAATGTTGATGTTGGGCGGGATTGACCGTCAGTGGTATTATTCTTTGGGTGCCCTCCTAGGAATATACTTGCTGACTTGTTGATCTTGGTATAGGTTGTTAATACCTCCTCCAACTCTCCCTCACTGCAAATCAAATATACACGTATATCAAATATGAAATCAATAAGTTCTTTGTTTAAACTTTTGTCAAAATGTATGACTGCCTTTAATTTTGAACAAAATTCAATCTGCTTTCTTTCCTTTTCCAAGGGGTATTTGAAGTCCTGAGCAATTTTCCTGGCATATATTTGTAATGGTTAGGGCCATGGATATCAGCCTTGGTAGCTCAGTCGGTAGAGCACCTGACTAGTGATGCAGGGGTCCCGGGTTCAATTCCCAGTCCAGCAATACATTTTCTCCTTTCCCGTTACAGATTTGGTGCCATTGACCTCCACTGACTAGCAGGTGAAAGTCGTGCCAGGGGCAAATAAGAACTAGGGTTGTGTCTTCGAGGGTGAAGACAATTTAAAGAGGGAAGAATGTAATGGTTTGGGCCATGGATATTGGCCTGGGTAGCCCAGTCGGTAGAGCACCTGACTAGTGATGCAAGGGTCCCTGGTTCGATTCCCGGTCAAGCCGAACATTTTCTCCTTTCCTGTTACAGATTCTTAGGTAAACTTCAAACATGCAACACTGTGTTCTGTAGAAGAGCCACACTCTACAAACACTACCTCTTATTTATCTTCTCTACAAAATAACCTAATTAGATCCTCTCTCACCAAGGATTCCTAAAGCACATTTACATTATGAGGTTCTGGAATATTTTAAGGAATCAGATTATGAAGCTCATCTCAACAAATGTTATCTGTTAGTAATGCAAACCCTTTAGTTACTAAGAAACAAACCTTCTTCAAAAACTTTAAGGTGGTCATCATTTGATAAAAATAAGTCATACAAAGCTTCACACAGGTCTAAGTACATTTCTAGATACATTATCCATACAAGTTTGGTCCAGTTAGGGCTTACAGTTACTTTGGATCACTCATCTGGAAATATGAGTTTGAAGCATCTGAAGCAAGTCTGTTAGTTTGCCACCCTAGAAACATCATCTACACAAGTTTAATCATACAACCTTCACTTGGTAGGCTGACAGTAGGAGTAAAGCATAAGCTCAGATCAACTTTGTGTCAGTGTTAGCTAAAATGGTTTTTGACAACAGGATGTAAATATTTATTCCTTAACCATGCTCAATAAGTTGAGCTTAATAACTGTTTCACTTAGAACATTAAGAATGAAGATTTAATGATCAGAATTTAAAGTTAAACATTTCTTTTTCTCACACACTGATCCTCTAACATTTATGCTTTCTAAATACTATTTGTCACATATGAATACCTGGCAATATTGACAAATCTGTCAAACTTGTGTTCACATAATCCCTGTGACTCGGCCTCTGCAGTGGTGGGGTGGAGCTCTGCTATCTTACCCTGCTGTTTCTCCTGCTGACGCTTTAAATTCACCTGCTCCGTCTCCTGATAGTAGAAACAAATGATGGTACAAATCATTTATAGTAGTAAAAAAAGTCAAGTCCCAATCATAGCACCAAACGTGACTGCATTCTCATGTTTCATTGTATGTGCAGTTAAAAATGTAAATTAAGTTCCATAAAACTTATGCAGTTAAAATTTGGCATCAGTTAATGGTGAATTCATTCATTATATGGACAACTTTTAAGGCCTACTTTATTGTAGATATGGACAAAATCCCCAAGTTGTTTGGCTAGTATCCTCCTTCGGTCAGTCAGGGGAAGTTTTCTGCTCGGTACCACCACCTTAAATGGCTGTTGAAGATTGACAGCTGCGCGCTTCAAGAACCTCAGGACCAAATCCTGCAACACAGCAGAAAACTAGATACACAAATGTAGTTTTTCTCTTGCATTTTACTCTACAAAAAAATTAACGTGAAAGGAAAACTTCATTAAAGTTTTAACTAGGGATGGCAATTTATAAATGGTTAACCAATTACTCAGTCAGAACGATGGTAATCAATTAGAAAATCTGTAATCAGTTAGTCCAAAAAAATAAAATATGTGTAAATTTCAACGAAAATTCTTTAAAATTTAACTTTAAAAACCTCTGCATTAATGTTGATAAGTTAGAGTTTTCACATATATGGAAGTAATTTAAACTGTCTGTGTTAATAACTGTTTAAAAGCCATGTCATTGCCTAGACTGTGCTGTATTTCTTTAATGATTTTAACTGTTGAATACTGTGAACTGATTATAATGTGTATCTTATCCCATCTAACTTTTGCAGTTATCTATCAGTTACCAGGTATATTAAAATTTTAAATAAACATTGTAAATTAAAGTGATAGTTCAGATTTAGTTCTGCTTATATGGTGACAATGCAGAACGACTGTGTGAAATTACCAATGTCTCTGATTTCTCATGCATGCTTCACTGTTTTCTTATCTTTTTTTTTTAGCTAATTTGCATGTAGTTTTCTGATTAAGTATAAACAGAACATTACTATAGTCTTTTTGGAATAATTTTGTATGAAAATACATTTAGCTTACTTATTTTGTTTAAAAAATTATGTATCTTGATACGATTAACAATTGGTTGGAACATCTTGTGGTTAACCAACTGGCAATTCTGTATTTGATTGCTATCCCTAATTTAACAGTGTAATAAACTAACCATTTGTTCATTGAGAGCATCTGAGTCATCCTGATTAGAAGGGCCCACTTCTGATAACAAGCGTTGCTGAACCCGCACTAAATACATCGCAAAAGCACCTCTGGCCTGGCATTTACTAGAAACGAATAGAGGATTAAGATTACATCAAGAAACATATTTAGCAGCATGTATACCAGCAACATGACAAATGTAAACATTGAAAAGTTGATGATATAGAAATATTGACGAAATTAATGACTGGCTAATCAATGTTTCTATTTGTCAAATATCTAACCATTGTTAAAGAGAAATATTAAATCTAGTAAAACAATCAGTTTTCCCCACCAAAGTTTTAAAATAAATAAATTGTCAAATTTTCAATCCATCAATATTTATAGTATACACTTATTGAACTAGAAAACTGACCAATCAGCAAGGGCCCCGCCGAGGGGTAGAAATATAAGGGTGCAGCTTATAGAATGAGAATTTTAATTGATTACAAAAATTAAAAAATATACGAAGAAGAATATGCTATAACAACTGTATTTATAAAATTTCAAGATAATTCATAAATATCCAACAACCTGTAAAGAGTACCCCTGTATTTACATAAGGCAGTAAAAAACATCATATCTATAATAACTCAATTAAATGTATATTTAAACAAGAATAAAGCATGTGTTTTATAAAATGCCAGCCTTCAGTGAATGCAAATATCACCCAGGCTTGACCTTAACTTCAAAACAAACATCAGTTGCAGACAAAGGTTAATTTATCTTAAAGTGACAAATAAAGATAAGCCTGGAAAATTTTCTGCCCCAGACAAGATAATTAATCCCAGGGGATTAATTGTACTGCTCTCACATCCTTTTCTTCCAAGTTTACAATAAAAACTTTTTCAGTAATGATAGAATGAGTTTATTATTGGACTACCTGTTGAAATAAATAGTATTCTTGAATTTACATACAGCAGCAAAAAAAAAAAAGAATAAATAAATGAAAAAAAAAAATCTTTATGTATATCTTGTTTTTAGGATTTAATAAAATCATAACTCATTGTGTATTTTACCAAAATAAAGTATGAACATTATTTAAATCCACATTTCAGAGAATGTAAATCATTCAGAATTGACCTTAACTTCAAAACAAACTTCATTTGCAGGTGCTAATTAATCTCAATTTGACAGAAACAGATAATGCTTTGGATTTTCTTCAAGAGGAAAGTTAATTAATCCCATGGGACTAGTTGCAGCTTTCACAGTTTACAATAGGAACATTCTCAGCAGTTATCTCTCTTTGCCCTGGCATTCATTCTTATGTAAAGTAAGGAATCTACCCCACCACCCCAGCTCCAAAGTGGATGACACAGAGAACCAAACTTAGCATCAAAATATGTCTTACTGCCTCTTCAACCAACATACCAAATTTGAACTTAATTGGTCAACTACAAAAAAAGTTATTGGAAAAAAACAGAAAATTTGTGGACGGAAGAATGACAGACAGACAGACAGACAGAGTGATTACTATAGGGCGCCCGCAAATCCTTGCGGGGCTCTAATTAATACAATTTACATGATCACACACTGTGGAATCATTATTTTTCATGGGGAGACCAACGTTTTTGGATTTCGTGGGGCCACCCTTACCCACAAATTTACAACACCACTAACATTTATGTTATAAATATATTGATTCATTGAATCTACCATATAAACGAGTGACCCATGAAATTATGTCTCAACGAACAAGTAAAATTTTGCTTGCCCATGAACATTGACCCCCACTAATTAAAATGATTCCACAGTATTATGCTTGTACCTGAGTGTTCTGCCCTTCTGCAAGAGTTCTACCACATTATACTTGGGTTCAGGAGGAGGGGGAGGGGGTTTGGGGGGAACTTCTGGTTTCTCCTCAGGGGGATTTTCCTGAGGTTTTTGGAGGGGTAGTTTGACCTGCACTCTCTGGGGTTTTGGAGGTTTATCCTGTGCTGGCTTCTGAAAAAGTCATTACCATATATTTATCGCTATTGTCTTCAACTTTTTGCAGTCATGACATCCTATGATATGCTTAAATTCCTAAAGCAAAGCTATGTACAATTATAAAAATTTAATGTCTAACCCTATTGTTTCAAGTCACCCCCTCATATCATATTGTACTCAACGTATACCTTTAAAAAATTATACAAAAAATCCAACTGTTTTGTTTCTGTACAAAGGATGGAGGTTATAAAATATCCATAAATACAAGTGATAATTTAATGTTTAAAAGTTCATGTTTTTTTTTTAAATAAAAGAATGAAAACTGCTTTCTCTTAATCTTTGAACTTCTACAAGACAGATATAACAAGCAAGTGAAACACTGACACCATAGGCTTGCTAGGTTTGCAATAATAGCACTTCTCAACTAAATTGAGCTCGAGTTTTGCTGCCCACATGCTTTTTACAAGCTATACCAGTAATTCAAACTATTTTAGCATTTCAGCTGGCCCACTTAAACAACATTATGTATCTCTAAGTTCTGCAGAAGCTTGTAGTAGGTGATTCATGCTTACTATATCGCTTTGTGCAGTTGGTTTTTCTTGGGGGACCTCGTCCCCATCTGTTACAACATCCACCTCTACCTCCACTTTATTTTTCTCCTCCTCCACTGGGGAGGAGCTCCTTGAGTCCTCCTGCTTTGTTTCCTCTTTCTCCTCCTCATTCTCCTCCTCAGATTCATCAGCCTTCTCCTCATCTTCCTCATTGTCCTCAACTACACCTTGAACTAATTTAGGCCTCACTGTATACAACAAGATATTGTTTTAACACAAACTTGAAATAAGTGTAAGCCTCTTAAGAGATGGATACAAAAATCAGAGACAAAAGTAGAATATTACAACTCTTTTAAAGCAATGGCATGATAAATGTTGAACAAAAGGTGTCACTTGTTTTGGGTCCATTTTTATTTACCTTTCGGTTTGTATTTTATAACTTATGTAGAAGATCCATGTTTATTTACTAGGAGTGAAACGGTTCACCGCGGTATCGATGCACCGCGGTATTTTTTCTCGGTTTGATACACGGTGCAAAATCTCTAATTTTCGGTTCGGTTCATTTTTCGGTCGGGATCGTTATTCAGTCGGGTTTGGCATAAGGTATAACACGTTACTCAGAATAAATAAGTATAGAAAACGTAAATTTTTGATGACTGATTGCTTGTAAAATAATTTTTGACAGTCAAATAATTTTAATCAATTTTTTCTAGTCAATTTGCAAATAAAATTCGTAAAATATGTGACTAGATTTAGAAAAAGAAAGCATAAAACAACGTAGAATTTGTTTCCTTCTATCAAAATGTATCGTATCGAAAATAACCGAACCGAGACAAAATTATACAATACGTATCGAACCGTAAAGGAGGTGTATCGTTTCACCCCTATTATTTACCTTTTGGTTTGCATTTGTTTAGGTATTATATGTAGAGGTGTGTCTTGTTTAGGTCCATGTTTATTAACCCTTTGGTTTGTGTTTGTTTGGGTAGTTATTTAGAGGTGTGTCTTGTTTTAGGTCCATGTTTATTTACCTTATGGTTTGTGTTTGTTTGGGTAGTTATTTAGCGGTGTGACTTGTTTAGGTCCATGTTTATTTACCTTTTGGTTTGTGTTTGTTTGGGTAGTTATTTAGAGGTGTGTCTTGTTTTAGGTCCATGTTTATTAACATTTTGGTTTGTGTTTGTTTGGGTAGTTATTTAGAGGTGTGACTTGTTTGGGTCTTTGTTTATTAACCTTTTGGTTTGTGTTTGTTTAGGTAGTTATTTAGCGGTGTGACTTGTTTAGGTCCATGTTTTATTACCTTTTTGTTTGTGTTTGTTTGGGTAGTTATTTAGAGGTGTGACTTGTTTAGGTCCATGTTTATTTACCTTTTGGTTTGCATTTGTTTAGGTATTATATGTAGAGGTTTGTCTTGTTTAGGTCCATGTTTATTAACCTTTTGGTTTGTTTGTTTAGGTAGTTATTTAGAGGTGCGACTTGTTTAGGTCCATGTTTATTTACCTTTTGGTTTGTGTTTGTTTGGGTAGTTATTTAGAGGTGTGACTTGTTTTAGGTCCATGTTTATTTTACCTTTTGGTTTGTGTTTGTTTGGGTAGTTATTTAGCGGTGTGACTTGTTTGGGTCTATATTTATTTATTTTTTGTTTGTATTTGTTTGGATAGTTATTTAGAGGTGTGACTTGTTTTAGGTCCATGTTTATTCACCTTTTGGTTAGTGTTTGTTTGGGTAGTTATTTAGAGGTGTGACTTGTTTGGGTCTGTGTTTATTTACCTTTTGGTTTGTGTTTGTTTGGGTACATATTTAGAGGTGTGACTTGTTTGGGTCTGTGTTTATTTACCTTTTGGTTTGTGTTTGTTTGGGTAGTTATTTAGAGGTGTGACTTGTTTGGGTCTATATTTATTTATTTTTTGTTTGTATTTGTTTGGATAGTTATTTAGAGGTGTGACTTGTTTTAGGTCCATGTTTATTAACCTTTTGGTTAGTATTTGTTTGGGTAGTTATTTAGAGGTGTGACTTGTTTGGGTCTTTGTTTATTTACCTTTTGGTTTGTGTTTGTTTAGGTAGTTATTTAGAGATGTGTCTTGTTTTAGGTCCATGTTTATTCACCTTTTGGTTTGTGTTTGTTTGGGTAGTTATTTAGAGGTGTGACTTGTTTAGGTCCATGTTTATTTACCTTTTGGTTTGTGTTTGTTTGGGTAGTTATTTAGAGGTGTGACTTGTTTGGGTCTGTGTTTATTTACCTTTTGGTTTGTGTTTGTTTAGGTAGTTATTTAGAGGTGTGACTTGTTTGAGTCTATATTAATTTTAGGGATGTCAACGAATAGTCGACTATTCGACTATCAGTCGAATGGACCGACGATCGAATAATGAAACGACATTCGAATATTATTTTAACTTAATAAATGCAATAAATGAGTGATAGATGAGATGGAATTCTCATCAAAAAAATGAGAAACAGACTTTTTTCATAGACAGTCGATAATTTTCCTCAACAAAAAAAAAACGGTAGATTTTCCATGTATGTATAGAAAGTACAGCAATTATAAATGCTTCACTACTGCGAGAATTAATTGTCAGTAACTGCCTGTGTTGTTTTTGTAATAAATTACCAACCAATATAATGGGCTTTGTTTGTAAAATTATTCACTGGACAATTATCTTTTGTTATTTTAAGTTTGCTCAAATGCAAGGAATAAACCTGTTTTGATACTTCGATAATTATTAAAACAATGCACTTACATTTTAAACTGTTTGAGGACATTTGATAGCCCCCCTCCTCCATTTTATTTCATAATAAGCTTTAAAAAATATTGGCTGGTAATTTTTAATGCTTACTCAATAAAAAATGACCGCATGTACAGGCCGATTTATGAATTCTATTTACGGGGAAATAATAAATTTTGAAGAATTAGGTTTCTAAATTTATTTCATAGAATCATGCTATCCATGTGTTACGTTACATTAATTTTGATGTTACTTTTTAAATAGATTTAAGTAAAAAGGTTTCTGAGTATGTACCAATGAAGTATAAAATAAAATTTTATTTTCAGAAAATGTTCCGAATATTCGACTATCGTTCGAATAATGCAATAGAAGGATCGACTAAGGAAAATAAATATTTTGACATCCCTAATTAATTTATTTTTTGTTTGTGTTTGTTTGGGTGGTTATTTAGAGGTGTGACTTGTTTGGGTCTATATTTATTCACTTTTGGTTTGTATTTGTTTAGGTAGTTATTTAGAGGTGTGATTTGTTTGGGTCTTTGTTTATTTACCTTTCGGCTTGCGTTTGTTTTTTCTTCTTCCCTTTCTCGCTGTTCCTAACTTCCTCTCATACTGTCGGGTTCTGTTTATGGCCTGGGCATAACATTCAGCAAACTGAAACAAGACCTGATCTTTAATCTTTAAAGCAAAATAATAAATGGTCCTTTTCTTCTCAAAATGTTTTGTTATACAACAGTATATCGCTTTGATCATAACAGTGTTCTCTGAATCCCATAAACATTCAATCATGAAATTGTTTGAACTGGAGGCACTAATTGATGGAAAATGTAAAATTGATACCTCTGGATCGGACTTTGAATTTCCTCCAATGGAAGCATATGCACTCCTGAAATGACAAAATTTCACTTCTCAGTAAAAGGTGACTTAGTTTTCTAATCAACATATTTTATGAATCCTAAAATTATTTTGCAAAGTTGAGTGAACTAAAAAAGAGTCTGGAGTTGAAGCAGAAAATGCAGGATAGATAGTTTAATAGCACTGCAAACAGAGAATAATTATTTACTAACTAATCAAATAATGGATTACTCTCAATTAAAAATCACAGCTAACCTAAATTATTATACTCCTGGTCCTATATTCTAATTGATCTTGATATAGAATTATGCACTCTCCAAGCTTATAATAGATTTATTTCAACAAAGAATCGTTCAGAAGGAGCAAGGAACACAATTTCCTAATGTCCTAGCCATGACTAATTTCTCTATGAATGACCTTGTCCTGCAACAATGACCTTGACCAAGCTTTTCAAAAGTAAAAGATAAGGGCAGACAAAAACCAAAAGCAACACAGCAGTAAATACCCCCTTCCCCACCCCATCCCCCAAGCCATCCCAAGTCATCTTCTATTAATCTTTCAAGCAAAATAATAAATGGTCCTTCTCTTCTCAAAATGTTTTGTTATGCCAAATATTTATCTTTATGCAATAGTTTTCAAAATACATTGATAATTCATCATAATAAACTTCTTTGTAAGAATGGGCTGTACCTGTATAAACAAGATGCTTTATACAGAGCATGTAGTTACATTCAACTCCTCCATCTTTAAGAGGCAACACTGTATTCTTTATTTTTGTTCAAAAGTGTATATATATGTTTCAGAGCAGTACAATAAAAACAACCAATATAGACATGAGCTTTAGATATTATGTTTGTCAGGCATCTCTGTTTATCCATCTCATACAAAGGGAAAACTCTTGAAACATGACAAATCACACTTGAGAAATTGTCTGCCTCAAGATTCACTCAAACTAACTCTGACACAACATCTCAACAACAGTGATAAAATACACAATACAAAGCCTTGATTCATGCATTAAGTTATATGTAGACAGATTTATCTTTGTGAACATTATCTTACGTGGCATGTTTGGCATGTTTGGAGTTCCTGTATATACAATAGACAGGTTATATATATATATATATATATATATATATATATATATATATATATATATATATATATATATATATATATATATATATATTTATATATATATAAGAGATCTACAGCCGTCTATAAATAGATCTACTGCAATAGCACAACTACACGGTATAACAACAGCTGATGGTGAACTACTCACTTGGTTCTGAATGTAGGACTTATTCTGAAAACAGCAGGATGAAGACTGAGATCCAGAAAAACTTACTACACAAAACTTCTGTTGTATATACTTATTTCTTACTAAATCCTTCTTTATCAATCATTACCAAGATTTTGGGAACATTGGTCGAGATGAATTAAAAAAGTTCAGTTACGAAAAATGTTTTGTTGCCTTGAGTATGTGCATGTATTACCTGAAACTAATGGCACTGAGCTCATAAAATAATGGGTACCCCCAATATTATAGAAAGAATTGCAGTGTCCATGTTTTGCTATGGAAAACCCCAAATATATTTCTGATTGAAATGTAAAATACGAGATGCAAAATACCACTGTGTGATAAAGGTTTTATGAAAATTTCATTAAATTTGCACTCAGTGGTGAATGAGAAGTTGAGGATAAGGGATGGCTTACCTCAAGTGAAATGGGGGAATGGACACCCCCATCACTGTACAACTTTTTAAGCTGGGGAGGGGGGAGGGGGGTATAATAAGCATGACACACAATCTGATTGGTTACTAGTCTAATGGTTGAAAACAGTGCCATATCAGATGCTATATATACTAACCATGAGTCCAGGCAGCATTAATGCATTGCTTAAGGAACAACAGAGAAAATAACTGTATTATCTAGGTCTCCTCAGTTATCCCCCGGGACCACAAACTTCTGTATCTCTGTATACCCTTTGGCTTCACCTCAGAATTTACCGAGGTAAAGACAGTGATAAATCCCCCATAATACTGACAGAAAAGGTCATATTTCTGACTTATTTTAATCTTATACCAGTATTTAATGTTAATTTTAAATAACCCACAAAATCGGTGTCATCCACTTAAGCTATTCATTAATGATGACTCTTAATTAGCATTTCTCCTTTTTTGACAGTTTGACCTTTGACCCCAGAAAGTGCTATACTTACTTTGCCCTTTGACCTACAGATGTAGATGCAGCACTTTTAGCTTGTGTTCCTCCTTTATGTCTACAAAATAAAATGTTTTAATTCACATTTCTCTGAAAACTTTAGTAACACCAGTTAACTGTACAGACTAACATTTCTTGGATCATCCTTAAAATAGACAGCAATTACATTTTGCAGAAATGTATTTTTTTTTATTTTGCATCAAGAACATTTAGTAGTTGGTCTTCACTGTAGGTTCTGGTAGTTTCCTAGCTACATCAGATTAATAGTTGCAAAAAGTTGAATCTATGACCTTCAAAAATTCTAAATTTAATGGTTACTCTTTATTCTGCAGTATGCTCCATTTCCTTTTGGATAAAATATACCAGTTTTATTCTAAAATTGTTACCAAAAATAATTCCTTATGCATCAAACCAAGTAAAATTAAGTATATGTATTAAATCATTGTATTATTTTTATATCGTTATATTGCAGACTTTACCTTTCTGGATAGAGACGACTGTGAACCATTAAGTTGTGAGTAGTTGAGAACTGAAGAAACGATCTAAAAAACAAAACCTCAATTCAATATAAACTTTTCCATTACTAGGGATAATGATGGCCAATGTACAAAACCTTTGTAAATGACTGTCATTGCTTCACATTCTTCTTATGCCCTGTTCACACGGAGAGTTTAATTCGAATTAAACGTAAGTTACTGCGAATTAAATTTGATCCGCGTTCACACGGAGAATTTAATGCGAATTAGTTTAATTCGAATTAGTTTACTGCGCATTAAATTACTTCGCATTAGCTCCGTGTGAACGCTAAGCGAAGCTAATTCGAATTAAATTTTGACGCATGCGTAAGGGCAGAATTAAGTCACATGCCACATGTCGGTGGTCAAATATAGGTATTTGCATTATTTTTGAGTGGAAAACAAAGGAAAACTATGTAAATCACTAAAAACTGTACAGACACTATGAAATTATGTCAAATGTATATCTGCTCTGCACAGTGTGACGTGACTTGCAAATGATGTCATAATAGCCTTACTGAATAGCCTTATAGTAGAAATAAAATTTTAATTCGCATTAGTTTACTTCGCATTAGCTGTCGTGTGAACGCAATTTAATTCGCATTAGTTTAATTCGCATCATTTTACTTCGCATTAATTTACTGCGAATTAAACTCTCCGTGTGAACAGGGCATTATTCATTAAATTGTTTTACACATATATGTATTATTTTAAGACATTCTAATATTTTCAGTTTCAACATATCTTTAATGCTCAACATATCTTTAATAATAAGTGTGCTCTTATAGAAAAAGAAGTTACTTGAGCTATAAATAGAAACGAATTCTAATCAAAGTAACAACATACGAGTACAAGTCCCAGGAATCAGCAGTGGGGAATATCCTAACCCAGCCCCCCTTCCTTTGGTCTTCCTCTTTTATTCGTCGGAGGATCTTGATTTCCTCACTATTCAGACCAGCCATGCCCCGGGGCTGGGGGTTTCCGGGTCGACTTCCAGACGAACTACCTGCAGACTGGGGTCTCTGTTTCTATATATGGTAACAAAACATACAGAATTACTAAATGGAGCCATGCATTTTCATTGACCTCTACCTAAAATATTCACAGATTTTTAAAATCTTCAAATTTCCAAATTTCAGCATCTTTGATAATGTTTTCAAGACTTGAATTTCTGTTGATTGCTTATTGCCACCCATTAAAACTTCAATTTTAACAACTTTGTTATATAAGCTATGAAATAACAGATACAACTGACATGTGTTTCTAAAAAAATTCTTTTTTCTGGTTAAGCAAATAAGAAAACCAAAAAAAAAAACAAACAAACAAACAAATAATCAAAATAAAACAAAACTCTAGGCCACCACAAAATCAAGGAATGAAAACAAAATGCCTTCCAGTTGATGGATCTTAGAATAAAGCTCAGGTAAATATTGACAGAAAGGGGAAAAATGAAGTAGTACTTGTTTTTATGGTAACAATTGGAAGTCTGGTGCTTAAATTATCATCACCTGAATTTGCTCCATGACATACACAAACTTATATTTTAATATTTAAGCAAATTGTTATGTAGTCAGTCAGCAATGGTGTTACAGCTATAAATATCAAAGTTTAATTCAAATGCTTTTTGACTGATTGAAATCCATGAATGTCTATCCATTTAAGTTTTCAAAAAGAAGACTTTATGATTAAAATTAAAGTGTATGGTGGTTGGGACTTGCCGTTCACTTCGACATATTCATGGTATTTGAGATATTACTATTCAAGATACCGAAGTTCAACTGTAGTAAATCTCAGCCAATATGAAATATAACTGGGTTTTTGTTTTTTGTTTTGTTTTTTTTTGGCTTTGTCATGTTTAATTCCAATTAATGGGAAAATTGTTTCATAAACAAAGCATAAATCATAGCATATTAAAATCTATAATATACTGTAGTTTTATCGTTATTCGTAGAACACCAATTTTCATGGATTTCGTTGTCGAGTCAATCCACGAAATCAAATGTTCATCGAAGTTTGGTGCCTCCATTTTGATTTATGATAAACTTTTAAAAAGCCAATTTTGACAATGTTTTAATATTCTGCAGGAGATGAACAAACATCATGTAGATCTGTAAATGCAGTGCATATACCAATCAGTGGTATTGCCCCAAAGGATGATAATCAGGTGCAAATGTGTTAAAATTGTTATTCTCAAACATTATAAGGGTCCAACCCCCATTATCACCTGCACAATGATAACAACAAATTATCATCATATAAAAATTCTGATAGAAATATTTAATTACTCTCTGTTCAAAACAGGCTAAATTCATACAAATTATCAACACAATTTAATGCCTCTTTGACTTTTATCTGTTTGTTTAGAAACATATTTTTTGTTAAACATGAAAAAACGGGTATGTATGTTGCGAAAGTCCTGCAATTTCCCGGCTTAATTATTTGTCGTCCATTTTGCATCTTTCAGCGTGGAGTCGTATCCAGCGAGCATAGATGTGTTTGTTCAGAGATCTACAAACAAGGAGGTCTGGATGTCTCTGTCACGTCCAGAAACGCACACTGTGCATGTGAAAATAAGTATATTACACCATTTTGTAAATTGAAATACTTGATTGTTGTTACTTTTAATATCCTGTTGCCACACTTATTATCGTTCTAATACACATGTGTGCATAAAAGATAAAATTCAAATTGTCTTAATATTTGAGATACTTGCATACCTTTTCCCCCAAAAGTTGATTAAATAAAACTTTATTTTTCTAATTAATTGTTTTTAATATTCTGTTTCAATATCCAATATTTAATTGGCCCATTGAGCTCATAGTGTTACAGCGGAGAAGGTATTTGGAATGCCTCACCCTTTATTGTTAAACCACACTGTGTTGTAAACGCTTGAAGGTTCCGACTTCAAAAAATAGAGAGGAGTAAAATATAAATAATAAATTAAAGAGTTTTCACCTGTTTGTGATTTTTTTAAAAAAATTATGTACTCTTTAACATTGTAAATGGCATGATGGTACCCGCTAAAGCATATGGCGAGAGAAAATATGAAAAGATGACAATTTTTTTTTCTGTTAGGACCATTATCCACAAATTTACATATCCTCGTAACTGTGATTTTTTACTAAATCCACGAAAATTGATGCCCACGAATATTAATGAAACCACAGTTTATACTCTAGTCATTAATCAGAGAGATTCATATAGAAAAGGCAATAAAAAACAAACTATAAAAAACAAACTAGTATACCATTATATGTAATGTATAGTTCTGCTATGTCAATCTAGTAAGCATCTGTTTTATTGTAAACAAATAAATATCCAATTCCACCAAACCAAATCAAATCTGTTACATGGGGTCATTCATGGAGAGTTATGATGGGACATGGACACTTACCAATGATGATGCAGATGAAGGTCTATATCGAGCAGACTGGAAATATAGTGCAGTGAAAATGAAAGTAACAAGGTGCAAATCTTTATCAATCTTGTTAATATATTTTTCCAATTTTATAATGGTTTTTATGAGTAAGTGAGATTTTAAATAAGTAACAAGACTGATATCAGATAGAGAGTGTCTCTGAAAGCATAGTTTGTCACATCAATCAGTGACAAATCGAACTACCTTAATTTTCCCCCCTCTGAATGTGCTAAGATTCTACACTTCAGTTTATTGTCCTCCCACCTGGACCCCTTCCATTTCCCATGATGTATTCATAACTTTAGACCTTCTACTTACCCCTCCCATTTCTGATTGCTATCACACTATGCTTTCAGAGAAAAAGATTAGAACTTTTTCATGCATAATTACAGATTTTTTTCTTTACCATATGACTTACACTGCATATGAAAATGTATAAAAAATTTTGATTTTTATCTTTGTACATAAAACTCACAAATATTTTATTTATAACTGAATTGTTTGACAAGATTCCTATATTAAAAAAAATTTAAAAACAAAACAAAAAAAACTAGACAAAATACACTCATAGCCCTCAACCAAATCAATTATCAAGCAGAAAGAGAACCATATAAAAAAGAATAAAAATTCACCCATAAGAAAAAAAAATTATCTTCAGTATAGTAACACATATAAATAAATTGGTTGTGTACTGAGTATCTACCACTATAAACCACATCAAGAAAAAGCCCCAATAACCAAGGAAACTGCCCCAATAACCAAGGAAACTGTCCCTTAACCAAGGACTCTGCCCCCATAACCACTGACAAGTGTGAAATGCTAGCTGTGTACCATATCAAGGATGGAGACATCATCAGTGTTCAGACGTCTCTCAGCCTCAAGTTTCCATCTACGTCTTTCCTACAGTTACCATAGCACACTTTTACTTTCTTTAGAATGATTGTAAATTCCCCTACAGTTTTAAAGAGGAAATTTACCACAACTAAGAATATGTCCATAGAACATGAAACCACTCAGTGTTACACTTAATTGTTCTAACCTTTACAATCTGTGTGTTAAGAAATTTAATATATCTTAGAAAGTTTATTGGACACTGAGCCAGATACAAAATGGGAAGATGTGAGGTCAAGGTTATATGAAAAGTCAATCTCAAAGATATCTTGACCTTGTTGAATTGTTCTCATGTGACTGTATCAAGTTTGATAAAAATCTCTGACACACAGTGTTAAAGGCAAAGTGAGATGAGAAGACAGACATGACAAACATTATGCCCTGATCAAATAATTGATGGAGTTTCATAATTCTCTTGCAGACTGTGTCTTTATCTTTCAGATAACTGCATTAATATATAGAGTAAATGCAAAGTTTTTCCAATAGCTTAGACTATATGGTCTACTGTTGTTACAACATATTAATGATTATATATTAGAAAGATACGGGTAATATATTACTTGGATACATGCAATTATGGCTTTGTGTTAGATATATAGATCATAAACTCTAAGTATTATTGTACTAAAGATTGTTACAGTGACCTTGGACATAAATATACCAAGAAAAAATTCACAGAGGAGAGAAAATAATAGAAAAAAGGAAATATTATAAATATTGTAGGCTCTGTTACAGAGAGATTCTGGATTACAAATTATATCTCACCGAGATCTTTTCTTGAATTGTCCGCTCTTTCTAATTAACATAATCAAATATAAATTAACTTGTACAGAACACACACTAAAGCCATGACTATTGTATTAAGCCAGCTCATTCATCATGCTTTTAGTAAACTAGTATACTGCATGATAAAAATAAAGCACATGCTCAGATGTAACATTCCTCCAGAAACCAAACTGATCCAAAGAAAACATACATACATGTGTGTTTATTTAATACTTTAAAATTGATGTACTTCTCTTTAATTCAATTTCCCTTATACTTATTAGATGAAATTAAAAATATTGAAAAGTATGACACAATCAGCAAAGAATAGTATCACTACTTGCCATCTAATCCCAACATCCAGGAAGGTTTCTCAGACACAACAGAGAGAGATGTAGTGCTGATGAATACTTAGAAAGGATGTGAAATGTTTCTGTGTCTAAAAGAAAGTTTCTTCATCAGGCATGCTCAGCTATTTTGACAGTGACGTCTTGACAGAGTTGCTTACCTTGGCATGCACGGCTATTTTGGCAGTGACTTCTTAATAGAGTTGCTTACCTTGGCACGCGCAGCTATTTTGGCAGTGACTTCTTAATAGAGTTGCTTACCTTGGCACGTGCGGCTATTTTGGCAGTGACTTCTTGATTACGTCGACTTTGCTGGAGAGTTCTCATCATCGGATCATGACAGACAACTCCTGCAAGAATCAGATTACAAAGGCAGGTAACTTTTACAATTCAAGAAAATATGTTTTACCAGGGTTGTCCCTAAGAATTGAAATTGCAGGGGGCATTAAAAAATTAGAAAGGGGTCTGGGGTTCCTCCCTAACAGAGGGTTGAGAGGGAATACCAGAATAACTGGGGGTTTACGACACTATAGGCAGGGAAATTCCCGGACCCTTGTGTCGTAAGGACAACCTTGTATCATAGTATTACAGTAAGGCATATTTTTCTTTATGATAAATTTCAAAAATTCATAAAATTAGAAGTATGTGTGACTACTTCTCTTAATACAAAAGTTCTTAACACAAGGCAAAAATAATATCCCAGCTTCCAAATCAATTATGTGTACTAACCTGTGAGACTGAACACATCACACATCATATTTGTTTTAATCTTCATATCTAAAGGGGAATCACTGTCAAAATTAAAAAAAAAAAAATTCATTTTATTCAGTGGTATGCAACAGCTTACAGATTTGTAAACTAGAAATATGTTCATAGGACATGAATGCCCTGCCCAGGACTCATTACTAATGCAACATGAAAATTTGTATTAGTGTATGAAATTTGATGAAAATATCTTAGGCCAATTCAACTTAATTAGTAGATCATCATCCAGGGTCACCAAAAAATATGGGGTGGGTGGGAGGATTTTATTTTTTAATTTTTATTTATCATTTTTTTGTGTGTGTGTCTGATTTTGACAGTAATTCTCGCCATCTGAATGTCAGGTTGGGGTGGCCTGTTGTCAATATTTCCGCTCACAAAATCATTGTAGAAATCGATGATTTTTTTTTTTATCACTAAAATTTGTAGCATACCAACCCCTTCTTTTGATCACACCTGTTGCAACACGAAAAATAATAAAAACCATTCCTCTTTCTTGATGTGCGTTGATGTTTCTAAACCGGAAATACTTTTTGAAATATATATACCGGAATCGAACACGAAAAATTTCCGGAAATCATAATTTTTGCAAAAAATTTTTAAAAATTTGGGCGGGCCAATTTCTGAGGGGCAGGCGGGGATGATAATCTATCAATTAAGTTGAATTGGCCTTAAATAGCTTTTTTTTTAAAACTGTGTTTTATACACAATGAATAGGAAAATCAAAGGTCATTGGGAAGGTCAAGGCAAAAAAAAATTGGACACAATTGATAAATTCTCCCAAAATATGAATCGGTGCATAAGCTCACATTAGAATATCTCTTTGAAACTGAGCTAAATGCAGAATATTGAGGTCAAGGTCAAAGGGAAAGCAAAGATAAAAAAAAATTGATGCATTCAATAGACTCACCTAAATGTATTAGCAAATTAGATTTGATAAAAATATTTGTTTCTTTAAAGCTAAGCTAAACACAAATTTTGGAAAAATGAGGTCAAACACTATGTGTCCCTGCCATATTCATTGCAGGGCATAACACACCCAATTTACATCCACAGTTCACAAACTCTGGAGTATTACAGGTACAAAAGTTCTAAACATTCAGTGTAAAGTCAACTTAAAAATGATTTAAATGAGAGTTATCTTTCTTGTCATACTGCCTTCAATCTCTGTAGTGCTGCACTTTCCATGTTCTGCATTACTGAATTTTTCTCTGTAGTAGGGGGCTAATATTATCTTCATGAAAAACTATTTTTGATTACTGTTTGACACATCCTCAACACTTACCATGCAAGGGAGGGGGATAAATTGACCTCTAGCACCCAAGGTTTTAGGTTATCATCGACTAAAATATCAAACCCATACAATTCTGGAAAGGAAAGAAAAAAATTATGTAAACTAATGTTTCAAGTTACCACATTTAAGAATTGTATGTGAAAACCTAATGAAATTTTTTTCTGAAAAAAAAAAAAATTTATCATCACACTAATAAGTTTAACTTTTTTCAAAACAAACCCTCTTCAATATATATTATCTAAAAATAGGTAAAATTATCTTAAACTACTATATTATCTAAAATTTTATTTAAAATGTAAACAGGAATAACAAATTTAAGAAAATTGCTGAATACAGTAAAACACTCTTATAGCAAAGTGCCAGGGATGAACAATTTTGACTCATTATAAACATTATTTATCATATCACTTTTGCTTACAATATGTTTTAAAACCATGTGGAATGAAAGTCACTTCAAGTGAGTGTAAATCCATTATACGGTAAGCATGATTGCTATAACCATGTTTGACTGTATTTGTAAGCATACCAAAACAGTTTCCTCTGAAAGGCATAAACATTTTACAGGCAGTGGCTACGGGCACCTCCACAGAGACTATTGTCTTAATGATGACATCTTCTATCCTCATCATTAGGGCTGTACAAAGTCAATAAATCACATTACACACAAGCTTAACTCTATCTTGTCAAACCAAGCTTACACATTTCTCATTATATAATGTTTTTATCCATGTCTAATTCATGATATCTTTGGCCAGAAAAAATTCAATTTTCATATTCTTGGGGCCAGATTTTTCTAAAAGAGTCCGACATGAAGCTATAGGCTTTATTCCTCCTAATATGTCGTACACACTGAATGTAATATACAAGTGAGTTTTAGTCATTTACTTTCAAAGATTATTTTATGGAAATATTGTGCTTCCATTCAAATCAGGACATGCCTTAGCACAAGTTGGTAAAAATGATCTACTTCCTATCCTACAGGAAAACAAGGGAGTGCCCAGGGGTTTTTTTTTTTTCACCCAAACTACACGAATTACAAATCCTGTTCAGTAACCCCATTCTGAACTTTTACAATAGCTAAATCAATTATCTACATAAACCTATAACAGGAATACATTTTTCATGAAGGACATGTAAACATTCACCAGTGATTATTGTTGAAAGATATAGAATTAATAAACAAAAAGTATTTCCTAAAATTTCACCAACAAACTTTTCATATGTGCATGCATGGTGATTGTACTTATCATCTATGACATATCATTCAAATTCTGCTATATTTGACATAAATGTAATGAATTTCTCAACTACTTTTATTTCATCTGGAAGAGATGTGTAAATTTTTAGAAAATCTTGTGTAGAAAAAATATTTATAAGCCAGGTCACAACAGAAACCATATTAGCTTTTTTACATTCACTTCTCAGTTATTAACATGCTTGTCCATTGTATGTTTTCTAATGAAAAAAGTGTAAGGCATTTTATTTCCCCTGAATATATATGCAGTTAAAAACCAAGAAGTGGCACTTATTTTTTTTTAAATGTAGAGGAGCCTGAGAATGTGTACATTCATTCATTTTTCACATCCTTCCTTTACACTATAAATTAACTGTAACCCGACTACATTTAATTAGACAATTTTTATCGAAATTTGTCAGTCTGATATCCATCTAAGATTATTAATCTTCATTACTGTGGAAATCTTCTACTTAAAAAAGCATAATAAATAGTTCATGACAATAAATATTCCCAAGTAAAAGAATTAAGATAGTTAAATTCGTGGATATTTCTCGCACACAAATAACAGTTGGTATAAAGTATATTTCTGCCAATCACTTACCTGCTGTATCCTTGCCCCTTGACCTGAGGTAGCGTAAGAATGCACCTAGTGACCATTTATTCCCATAATCCTCTACATCAGGGTCATCATTCCTGAGAGATAAAACATTTATATAAGAATACACCCAGTGACCACTTATTCGAATTATTCCACCATGGTCAATGTTCCTGGGAAATAAATATTTACGTAATTTAAATGTCATTTCATTAGGTCATGCAATTTAGGTCAGATAAAATCTTAAATATTTCTTAATTTCATATTTAATTAATCAGACACTGAATATATACAGTCAAGCCTCGTTGTCTCAAACTTGAAGGGACTGAGAAAAAACTTCAAGATACCCGAGGATTAGAGATATTGAGAGTAAAACACTTAAAAGAATATGTGATTGGGACTTCCAAATCACTTTGACATATATATGGCATTTCGAGATACTAGTCTTTTGAGATACCAACATTCAACTACTTTGTCAAATGTCCATCATCATTAATCTTGCCATGATTTAATATTAAACTAATTTCTTTCCCACTCACTTTGAAGTGGCCTCACAATTCACAGCTATTGCACAAGAACAAACATAACTCTTAATGGCTAAACAACTTCCACCAAGTAAGCTGTGTAGAGAAGTGAGTCAGAATCAGATTCTTGGATTGACTTTAAGGGAGCCGACAGGTTCTTTTTTGTTTTTTTTTTTGTAGGAAAATTACAATAGATACGCTTTCTTCTATACCATGTAATCTACACTGTCTTCAGTGTCCATGCAAAGTTTCAGAAAAATCTACCAACTGGGTATTTTTAGGGATTATCTCAAAATAGTTACATTTCCTATAGAATTGTATGGGAAAATGCTTTTTTGTACTTCAAAGCAAATTACAGAAATACTATAATAGACTTTTTTCCTCATATTATAATACAAGATGATTATCAGTGCATTATATGTAAGAAACACAAAATTCTACCATCTAGTTTCCAGAGGGGGCACCTCAAAATGTCAAAATTTATGAAATTTTCCTGTTGTTATGAAGTACTACAAAATATGACAGCAAATGAGTATTTATACAGAACCTCTTAAATAAACGCTTTTTGAATTTAAGGTAAGAAATCATGTGATTTGGCAGTCATGCTAACATCGTATGACATTTTTCTGATTGCTGGTACAGACAATAAGACAAGCTGTCATTATAGTACAGCAGTCTATTGATCTTGAGTCTTGAATTGAGTGAAGCATCTTGGGCTCCATGCAGGCCCCTGATGATATAACCCTATTGTAATTCATCATAATTACTGTGCACCTGACAGCTCCTCCAGTTCTTACATAATACTTCTATTCTGTGACAATCAATATTCACATGACACAACTGCTGTTAGTTTCTGTCACCTCATAACTCACTCAGGGAACCTGACACAGGAACAGTACCTTTAAAACTGTACACCTTCAGTAAGAATTATTCCTGTTCTCCTTTGTTGCCGTTTGGCTGATGGGGGGGAGGGGTATTACAGTTTTTTTTTTTTTAAATAAATTATTTTGCAGCAATCACTTTTAATGAGGAAAACTGTTGTCTACCAAATTAACTGTAGTGTACAGATATACTTGAGTATGCCTTGCTACATATAGCTAATAGTTTCCTTTTTTCAATATCAGCTGGACCTGACATTGGAGCCTAGATCTAAGTTACTAAAATTTCATGATTTTGAAGAAAAATTAGTACACAATATACTACTTTCCTAGAAATTCAAAAATAAAACAAAGTCAAATTTCAAGTCATTAGAAGATTAAGCTTAGTTCTTCATTAAAAGCCAATTACTAAAAGGTCAAGCTTAAGGTCAATTTAAGGTCACATGGTTTGTAGGTCATTACTTATTGAGTAAGTAGTTCAAATTTCAAGTTCTAGGTCATACAGTGTTTAGGCCTGGTACTTTTTGGAAGGTCTATTTACATATAATACACATGCTACATATCAAATCATATCTGTTGTCATTTAAAGAATATTGGCTAATTGGGGGGGGGGGGGGGATAAAAGGTTGGAAGATACCCTGTGTTTCATTATTAAGCATTTTGAAGAGAAGATCAAAGATCAAAATTCAAGTTCAAAAGGTTAGGTACCCTAGTAACTTTAAAAAGCTTTTATGCCAAGCAGTATAATCAGCTGAAAAATCTGAGCCTGTTATGGTTTAGATATAGGCTTTGACAAAAGGACAGGTGGACATTTATGAGTAAGTATCCCTTACTCTCGTGCTTTGCTTTGTAGCCATTACATACATTATATATTGCTTAACTTGGTTCAACATTTTCAGAAGACAATGTAGAAGTGTTCTTGACATACAGCACGACACATGCATGGTGATGGACAGGAAGCCAATAGCAAAAGGTCACCTTGTGACTCAGGTGACCTAAATCTCTTAACAGCATAAAAAAGGGTATCGTTATTAACATCAATTTTAAGTACAAAAAAATTAGCAGTCTGAGAATAAATCTGATTAAATGAGATGGTATAAAAAGTGCACACAGTTTCTGAGATTTATGTCTATCTCTCAAACATATCTATTGATTTGTTTGTTTGAAGCTAAAAGCAATTGAAAGATTAAATTCGCAAAAACTAAATACACTCCATTAACCATTAACCATTAAAAAGTACAGCAGCCTTTATAATCATTTAATATGCAGGAAAACTTGCCTACTTTTTGCATGGCTTTAATGGAGCCTTGAATTGCACACCCAGTACACAGTCAAGTGATTCTTATAAATGTAAAGTATGGTGGTTCACATGGTGTTATATTCATACCAGGTAAGTTAGCTACAGCATTGAACTGTGTATATACAGGTAAAAATGAGAAGTAAAGACTATTTACAGGGACACTTGCACATATGTATTTATCTACACTTATTGTAATAAAAAGTTTTTGCATTTCAATTTGAGAGCAGAAAATGCACGACATTTTTTACCCTATTAAATGATTCAGACCACCTTTTTTGTTGATGCTGTAGTTTGTCAGTGTTTTAGTGGGGACTAACTTGAAAAAGTCATCACTTTTCTTGTTGACACTGTTGTTTGTCAGTGTGTAAGTGGGAACTTACTTGGTGTAGTCATCACTTTTCTTGTTGACACTGTAGTTTGTTAGTGTTTTAGTTGGGACTTAATTGACACAGTCATCACTTTTCTTGTTTATGCTGTAGTTTGTCAGTGTGTGTCAGTGGGGACTTACTTGACGTAGTCATTACTTTTCTTGTTGACACTGTAGTTTGTCAGTGTTTTAGTTGGGACTTAATTGACACAGTCATCACTTTTCTTGTTTATGCTGTAGTTTGTCAGTGTGTGTCAGTGGGGACTTACTTGACGTAGTCATTACTTTTCTTGTTGACACTGTAGTTTGTCAGTGTGTATCAGTGGGGACTTACTTGACATAGTCATCACTTTTCTTGTTGACACTGTAGTTTGTCAGTGTGTGTCAGTGGGGACTTACTACACAAAGCCATCACAATTCTTGTTAACACTGTAGTTTGTCAGTGTTTAAGTGGGGACTTACCTGACATAGTCATCACTTTTCTTGTTGCCACTGTAGTTTGTCAGTGTGTCAGCGGGGACTTACACTTGACAAAGTCATCACAATTCCTGTTGACTGTAGTTTATCAGTGTTTTAGTGGGGACTTACTTGATGTAGTCATGACTTTTCTTGTTGATACTGTAGTTTGTCAGTGTGTCAGTGGGGACTTGCTTGAAGTAGTTATCACTTTTCTTGTTGACACTGTAGTTTGTCAGTGTTTTAGTGGGGTCTACTTGATGTAGTCATCACTTTTCTTGTTGACACTGTAGTTTGTCAGTGTGTCAGTGGGGACTTACTTGATGTAGTTATCACTTTTCTTGTTGACACTGTAGTTTGTCAGTGTGTGTCAGTGGGGACTTACTTGACAAAGTCATCACTTTTCTTGTTGACACTGTAGTTTGTCAGTGTTTTAGTGGAGACTTACGTGATGTAGTTATCACTTTTCTTGTTTATGCTGTAGTTTGTCAGTGTTTTAGTGGGGACTTACTTGACATAGTCATTACTTTTCTTGTTGACACTGTAGTTTGTCAGTGTGTCAGTGGGGACTTACTTGACATAGTCATCACTTTTCTTGTTGACTGTAGTTTGTCAGTGTGTCAGTGGGGACTTACTTGACAATAGTCATCACTTTTCTTGTTTATGCTGTAGTTTGTCAGTGTGTCAGTGGGGACTTACTTGACATAGTCATCACTTTTCTTGTTGACTGTAGTTTGTCAGTGTGTCAGTGGGGACTTACTTGACGTAGTCATCACTTTTCTTGTTGACACTGTAGTTTGTCAGTGTGTGTCAGTGGGGAATTACTTGACAAAGTCATCACAATTCTTGTTAACACTGTAGTTTGTCAGTGTTTTAGTGGGGACTTACTTGACATAGTCATTACTTTTCTTGTTGACTGTAGTTTGTCAGTGTTTTAGTGGGGACTTAATTGAAACAGTCATCACTTTTCTTGTTTATGCTGTAGTTTGTCAGTGTGTGTCAGTGGGGATTTACTTGACATAGTCATCACTTTTCTTGCTGACACTGTAGTTTGTCAGTGTTTTAGTCGGGACTTACTTGACGTAGTCATCACTTTTCTTGTTGACGCTGTAGTTTGTCAGATGCATACACTGATTCCTGATGTGTCGATTGCTCTTCTCATATTTCACCGTGGCAAACCTGTTTATGACATCAAATCAGTGAATCATTATTTCAAGTACAATGTACATACAAAAAGTCACTTGCTTATCAATCAAAGGGTATTAATGTTTAAAAAATTTTCTGCCCTAAAGTCAAGTTTTTAACAATTCACATCATGATAATGAAAAATGTATTTGTTAGCCCCAGAGGAAAGTAACAATTTAAACTGAAATTTTTGCCCCCAGCTCTTATGAAATGTTATGCCCACAGTCTTTGATGGTCACTTGAATATCATGCCTTTCTCAAGCTATGACAAACTCAGCAACAATTGGAAAAGATTCACGACCCTTTGACATTAAATTAACAATTTATGAGTGGATTCTTTGATCATTTCATTCCATAAAGTTTGTCTCCTTCATGCTCAAGAAAGTTGAGGATTTTTAGAAAATATTCATATTCAATATATGATCAACTAAGCTCTACTTTTGGATCTGAATCATTAACCTAGGGAACACTAACACTTTGGTAGAGGGCTGACTGCTCATTATTACCTTGAAAACAGTTGGCCTTCTGGAAGTCAATGTGTAGAAAGATTTTACAAAATGTAATGAAGTTTCAATGTATGACTAGTTTAGCCTTGCTCTGAATCCAGCACTCGGGGAGAATAAATTTCAAAGTTTTGGTAAAATGTTACAAAATGTTTAAAGAACTTAAAATTAACAAATTAAAGAACTAATCCACAGAAGCAAGCCAAGAACATTAATAAGCACCCTCTGAAGACCTTAACAAAATCTGTGTTCTTGATTAAACACACTGAATGATACTGACATACAGAAACAGGTCAACTGACATCACTTACCTGGTAAGTCCCTCCTCAAACAGGTAGATACAGAAACAGGTCAACTGACATCACTTACCTGGTAAAACCCTCCTCAAACAGGTAGATACAGAAACAGGTCAACTGACATCACTTACCTGGTAAAACCCTCCTCAAACAGGTAGAAACAGAAACAGGTCAACTGACATCACTTATCTGGTAAGAACCTCCTCAAACAGGTAAATACAGAAACAGGTCATCTGATGTCAATTACCTGGTAGGTCCCTCCTCAAACAGGTAGATACAGAAACAGGTCATCTGACATCACTTACCTGGTAAGTCCCTCCTCAAACAGGTAGATACAGAAACAGGTCATCTGACATCACTTACCTGGTAAGTCCCTCCTCAAACAGGTAGATACAGAAACAGGTCAACTCACATCACTTACCTGGTAAGTCCCTCCTCAAACAGGTAGATACAGAAACAGGTAAACTCACATCACTTACCTGGTAAGTTCCTCCTCAAACAGGTAGATACAGAAACAGGTCATCTGACATCACCTACCTGATAAGTCTCTCCTCAAACAGGTAGATACAGAAACAGGTCAACTGACATCACTTACCTGGAAAGTCCCTCCTCAAACAATTAGATACAGAAACAGGTCATCTGACATCACTTACCTGGTAAGTCCCTCCTCAAACAGGTAGATACAGAGAGGGTCATAGGATGTCACACAAACATACAATCGGATGTCAAACTTGAAACCTAAGATATAAAATATAAGTTATTGTATATATACAGGTTATTATCCATTACTTACAAATGTTTATTTTTGTATGTTTTTGTAGTTTCTAGTAAGTGCATGTTTTTTTTAAACATGTACTCTGAATTTCCAAAATTACACTGCAAACTTGATTCTGATTTATCGGAGAATGTCAACAAGAGTTTCCATTTTATCAGGAAATCAAAAAATATTACTGACAATTAATTAGAAAATGGCTGATTTACGGAGGCATATTAATCACAAAGATACAGCATAGGGATAGATCAAGATAAACTTATACCTGACCCCTGTTCAAACTCATACATAAGATTCATAAATATAACAGTTAACATCCCAACCATCTTCCTTGGTTTATACTGCAGACTTGTCTGAGAACATGATAAGTGATTCTGATGTTACAAGGCTAAACTCCCATCAAAATAAAAATGATGAAAATGTTGCTCATTTTTCTTATGTATATGACCCAATATCATAATTTATTAACAAACTAATAGTTACTCTAGCTCTGCATTGCCCATAGAGTTAATTTTTACTTACTATCTATCAATAAAGGATTGGATATGTATTTAGACACAATCAAGTTTTCATCCAATGGCACCTGATCAGGCTAGAAGAGAAAAGATACATTTCACACCAAACATCTAACAAGAGTAAAATAAAATTTGCTGACAATTATTATAAAAAATCTAAAAATTTCATTACAAACATTTCCAGGACATACAGTTAAGAATTACTCACATGATTACACAGAAACACACCCCTCCCACGAGAGGAGGCTACAGGCTTAACAATCCAAAGACCCTTTTCCCTCAAAAAAGAAGCTGAAACAAACATTAAAATTTATCACTGTACATGTAGGATGATTCTAAAACTAAGAATGATTTTTAAAAAAACTTTCGAGACTGATTAATGGAACTCTAAGGTACCACTGCCACGAGTCTGACAACAGGGTCCTTGTTACTGATGGATGACTGATCTCTTATGTATTGGGGCAATATACCAAAAAGAAACCACCACAAAAACAAGAGGCCCAAGGGCCTTGAATCGTTTTTCTGATAAACTGTACAACCTATCACTTCTATTTGAAGCCTTTAAGTATCCTGTATATTTAGATAAAGCCTTGAAATTCCAAATGTAAGTCATCATGACCTACATTTTAGATGAAACACTCTGAGAACCCAAGATGATTCTTAGCCAATAAGTACGAGAGTAAGTCATGGTGACCTACTTATCACTTGTCATTCTCTGAGGACCCAAGATGCATCAACTAACTAAGTTTGATGATTCTAAGTGAATTAATACCTAAAATATTTAATTATAATAACCATAAAATAGGTCACGGTGACCTACTTTTCAGTCAACTTACTCCGAAGACCCAAGACGCATCAACTGACAAAGATTGATGATTCTAAGCCAATTAGTACTAGAAATATTTGATTATAGTCATATAAATTGAAAAGTAGGTCACGGTGACCCACCTTTCAGTTGATCTACTCTGAGGACCCAAGATACATCAACTGACAAATTTTGATGATTCTTAGCCAAATAGTTCCCGAAAATATTAAATATAGCCATAAAATTTAAAAATTAGGTTACGGTGACCTACTTTTCAGTTGACGTTTTTGAGGACCCAAGATGCATCAACTTACATGTACAATGTTTTATGATCATAGGCCTTAAAATGTCCAAATTATGCCTCTAAAACGCTTTGAAATCGAATGCCTGCAAAGTTTAAAAAGTAGGTCACTGTGACCTACTTTTTAGCTCACCTGAGCCAAAGGCTCAAGTGAGCTTTTCTGATCAAATTTGTCAGTTGTCTGTCATCATTGTCGTTGTGTCGTCGTTGTAAACTCTTCACATTTTCATCTTCTTCTCAAGAACCACTGGGCCAATTTCAACCAAACTTGCCACAAGTATCCTTGGGTAAAGGGGATTCAAGTTTGTTCAAATGAAGGGACAAGCCTTCTTCCAAGGGGAGATAATTATGACTTCATGAAAAATTAATGGCATCATTTAAAAATCTTTTTCTCAAGAACCACTGTGCTTGAAAATTTGAAACTTATGTGGAAGCATCCTTAGGTAGTGTAGATTCAAGCTTGTTCAAATCATGACCCCCGGGGGTAGGGTGGGGCCACAATGGGCAATCAAGTTTTACATAAGAATACATAGAAAAAATCTTTAAAATTCTTCTTCTCAAGAACAGCAAAGCCATGATTAGTCATATTTATATGGAAGCATCATCAGGTAATGTAGATTCAAATTTGTACAGATCATGACCCCCCAGGAGTATAGAGGGGCCATAACAGGGGATCATAGTTATACAAAGGAATACAAAGGATATATCAATCAAAATTTTCTTCTTAAGAACAGCAAAGCCATATTTTGTCATATTAATTCAAAAGCATCCCTATAAAGTATAGATTCAAATTAGTTCAAATTAACCCCCCCCCCCCCCTTCCCAAACCAGTTTTATATGTAAACTTTTCAAGACTGAACTGATTTCTGCTTTTTCCTAGCCAGAGTCCTCAGGTGAGCGATGTGGCCCCTTGGCCTCTTGTTAATAAATATGTTTTATGGCCCCAAGATGCATCATCTTACAAGATTTAACTATTCTAAACCTCTCAGTATTCAAATTAATGACCTTAATTGTTTTGAAAAAGGTTAGCTATAAAATTCAAAAGTAGGTCAAGGTGACCTATTTTTTAGTTGACGTACTCCGAGGACTCAAGATACATCAAATGACAAAGTTTGATGATCATAGGCCTTAAATTGTTCAAAATATGCCTCTAAATCATTTTGAAAAAGAATGGCCGCAAAATTGAAAAAGTAGGTCACCATGACTTACTTTTAAGTCAACGATATGAGGTCCTTAGATGCCATTAACTGACAAGATTTGATGATCCTAGTCCTTATAGTAAGCAAAATATTAACATTTTAATAAAATGTAATTTTTGTTCAACTTTGATGTGACCTTGAGACCACGCCATTTGCCCCTGGGTGATGCCTTGAACAATTTTTAACCTACAACATATCCTCATCCTATTGTGTAAGTTTGGTGATAATCTGCCCCGTGGTTCTTGAGAAGAAGATTTTTTAACAACCAGTACTTTTGTTTCTATTTTCCTAACTATCTCCCCTTGTTTAAGGGTCACAGCCCTAGTTTTAGTATAAAAGGGAGCCATTGGGCCAAAGATACCCTGTGACAAATTTGACAATAATTGGCCAAGGGGTTCTTGAGTTATGGCCCATATTCTAAAAAGTCTACACACACCACACAAATGGCCATAGCATTAGCTCTTTGAGCCTTTGGCTCAGAAGAGCTAAAGAGTAGTTTGTAGCCAGAAAAAAATAACTGATGCTGATTTTTTTTTTTTTTAAATAATTGTAGGTTCCTTATTATTATATCTTATAGCATGAACTGAGTGCCCTGTGCACAATACTGTCACATCAAAATAATTATCTAACACTGTTTCTTAGTGCCAATAAACCTCAATTCTGCACTTATTTTTTATTTTACGATTAAAAGGTTTTTATAGTACAAATTTGAAATGAAATATTGGATTTCGTGAAGACCCGGAAGAATTGAAATTCCAAGCTGACTAAATGATGATAGAAATCTGTTCATAAGGCATTAATAAGGGAAATGTCTGATTAAATTTGTACAATTTCCAGTACAAGCTAAATGGATATCTACATTAATAAATAATCTGTGCACCTTTTTAACTCATTGCCAATAAAAGCTTTGTACTCCTAAACACAAAAAAGAAGTTTTTTATAAAGAATCAATGTGATACTTTCTCATTAACTTCCCCTACAAAAAAAAAAATCATCATTTAAGCTAGATCTAAATCTGTAGGGACATAGCTCTTCACAATATTATCACATCACAGTCTGACAAAAATAACTAATTCTTAACCTGATTTCTGTCAGCTTAATAGAGAAATTTTAATCCTAATCACAAGGTGCTATGTGTCAATCTATTTTTTTTTCTTTGTCTAGCGACCATAAAGAGGAAGTATTATTGTGAGAACAACTGTTTATGATCATGTCTTCTTGCTCCCTTTTTCTCCTTTTCTCTACTATACTTTCTACAGTCCTATTGGTCGTGTTTTAAAATTCATTATTCTCTCTGACATATTACTAATCACCATACTGATTTGTCTGACATATTTAACAGTAAGATTTCAAATATATATCTGATTTTTGAGTACCTGATATTTTACCATTAAATTTTAATACTTACCACAAAAGTCTTGATATTCACTGGGTAATATGAAGCTCTGGGGAATGATATCAAAGTGCTTAAACCCCTACAAATGAACCATTTTCAAAAATTATATTTATATTTGGCCTCATTTTGTCAGCTTTTCCAGCAGTAAAAAAATCCTGGTAAAGGAAAAAACTTGCTAACGATTGCATTACTAATAATAAATATGATAATGTGAAATAAAATGAATTCTTTGTTCATCTGTTTTTATTTCAATAAAAATAACACTTCATTACAGATTCCATTCCCACTTTAGGAATAGAACAAGGTAAATTTTGATGGTAGATTTGTCTCTTTTTGTCCATCTTCGCTAGCCAAGGGTTTCTGATACGCTACTCTCGAGCTCTCCTCATAAGCCCTTGGCATACGGTGTTAAAAAAAGTTGGGATTTTTTTCTCAAGTCGTGATTGGAGTTGATCGACATCGTTCGACCAATCAACAATTGTTTTTTTGTAAATGACGATATTTGCGTTCGGGATATATCTTGACTCTTTAATATCGGTAATGTAAAACGCAAGTAAACAATGATCCGTAAGATAACATGCCATTCTATAAATAGCTATATGGTGTCATCCAATATCTAAAGCTACGTGCAAAATATGTGATTAAGAATCTATACTTAGATGTAGATTTGCATTTTTACATGTTTAAATAACAAATTAACATAACTCAATACATTCTTGTTAATTATTCTTTAAAAACAAAATTTTTTTAAATACGCTTTTTATTTCTGTCGATGACGCAATCTGTGCGTACTGGTAAGAATCATGATCATGTGAGAAAAACAATCCCGTCTTTTGTCAGCACCGTATGCCAAGGGTTTATGAGGAGAGTAGCGTATCAGAAACCCTTGGCTAGCGAAGATGCTTTTTGTCCTGATGGTAGATTTGTCTATATTTGTACTGATGGTCAATTGTCTGTATTTTTCATGATGACAGATTTATCTATATTTGTCCTGATGGTAGATTTGTCTATATTTGTCCTGATGGTAGATTTGTCTATATTTGTCCTGATGGTAGATTTGTCTATATTTGTACTGATGGTAGATTTGTCTATATTTGTACTGATGGTAGATTTATCTATATTTGTCCTGATCATAAATTTGTCTATATTTGTCCTGATGGTAGATTTGTCTATATTTGTCTTGATTGTAGATGTGTGTCTATTTGCCCTGATTGTAGATGTGTGTCTATTTGTCTTGATGGTAGATTTGTCTATATTTGTCCTGATGGTAGATTTGAGTATATTTGTACTGATGGTAAATTTGTCTATATTTGTCTTGATGGTAGGTTTGTCTATATTTGTCCTGATGGTAGATTTGTGTGTATTTGTCCCAATTGTAGATTTGTCTCTATTTGTCCTGATGGTAAATTTGTCAATATTTGTCCTGTTGGTAGATTTGTCTATATTTGTCCTGATGGTAGATTTTTCTATATTTGTCTTGATGGAAAATTTGTAGATATTTGTACTGATGGAAAATTGGTCTATATTTGTCCTGATTATAGAATTTTGTATATTTGCCCTGATGGTATATTTTTCAATATTTGTCCTGGTGGTAGATTTGTCTATAATTGTCCTGATGGTAGATTTGTCTATATTTGTCCTGATGGTAGGTTTGGCTATATTTGTTTTAATGGTAGATTTGTCTATATTTGTCCTGATGGTAGATCTGTCTCTATTTCCTATGATTGTAGATTCGTGTCTATTTACCCTGACGGTAGATTTGTGTATATTTCCCATGATGGTAGATTTGTCTATATTTGCTCTGATGGTAGATTTGTCTATATTTGTCCTGATGGTATATTTGTGTATATTTGTCCAGATGGTAGATTTATCTATATTTGTCCTAATGGCAGGCAGATTTGTCTATATTTGTCCTGATGGTAAATTTGTCTATATTTGCCCTAATGGTAGATTTGTTTAAAATTGTTCTGGTGGTCAATTTGTCTATATTTGTTCTGATGGTTGTTTATTAGTTTCACAGTTAGTGACCTAATATGGAGACATCCAGGGTGAGGTGAAGTTGAGTCCCTACTGGTTTCTATTTCACACCCTGGATGACTCCAGCATTAGGTCAAAAACTGTGTAGTGAATTTATACAACTGAAGACCTTAACAAGATTAGTTTTGAGGTCAGTAACATATTTTTAAAACTTAATTCAAAATATTATTGAACATTATATATTCTCAGTATTAAATAATCACAGTTTAAGATATGTACAATAAATTTTAACCAACAAACTTTTTGCTTACTGCCATTTGTTTACGACAGAAACACTTAAAACAGGATCCCCCACCTGTTTATTAATATACCCCACGCTCAGAGTCTGTGTATTAGAAAATTTCAGGGTGTCAAGTGATCCATTTTTAGCCAATCAATATTCTACAAATTTGTCTGAAGTGGGATAATTGTCTATATTTGTTCTACTGACAATTTAAATGCAGCTTTTGATAGTCTGTGTTTTTTTTCCCATTCTGCACTTTCCACTTGTGGGTGAGCAGCAATATACTATGTCTTTCACTCATAATTAATTAAAACGTGTTATTGATCAGCGTACTTTACAGGATGACAATCTCCTTAAGTACCTCAGTACATGCGATGCCAACTTTTACCATGTCTAATAGACTCAGAAGAAAAGTGCATTTGTCTTCATATTCCGTTAAACCTATTTTCTTTAATACAGTAAAACATTTTTAAATGAGCATGTTTAAAAAGAATTCATGCTTACAGCAATTTTTTTTATTCTCTGCAGTATCAAAAAATATTATGAACTAAATGGATATAAAACAAATTATGTTTATAATGAATTAAAATTGTTTGTCCCTGGCACTTTGCTATAACCCTGTTTTACTGTAGATGTTTCAAATCTCCCTGGTAAATATTACAGAAAAAATATATGTCATTGTTTTCACTTAATGTCAGAGCTGATTTATGCAAGTATGTATACACACTCAAAGAAACTAAGAAATTCTTAAATATTCAAAGGATTGTAAATTTCTGTTCCCCAACTGACATTGCAAATGTCATAATATGTTAGTTGATGAGGAAACTTACCTTAATTTGTTGCATTCTCTGGATGTTTTTAAAGAGCCTGTCTTTTCTCGTGATTTCGTAGGAACGAGGAAAATGATTGACTTTCTGGAACTCTGTCAAACTGCGTAAAGTGAACGGTTTAAGATGACCTCCTGTCCAAATGATATTATAATCTGAACTGTTGGGATGTACCTAGGAAATCAAATAGATGTCCTTAAATATAGCTCTCCAAAAATGGATTCATATCAACTTGTAATTTCTTATTTTCATTACTGGAATGGATCAAAGCATTCTTCCAAAGTTACGCTAGTGTTTGTATCACTTTTTTGATCTTGATGCTGCTGACTGATTTAAACTGTTTGACTTTTCTTTCCCTGTTAATGGTCTTTTTATCACTTAAATATCTTCCATCATTAAACTTTGACGTGTTTATAACATTGAAACAAAAATCTAACACCTTGCTGGAAAATTTCCTATATTAACTTCTTGTGACTGACTTTGTTTGATTTTTTTTGTTTTTTTTTGTTTTTTTTTTTGTTTTTGTTGTTTTTTACGACAACCATGCAAAATCAAACCTCATGGAATCCATGGAAGTTGAAGATATTCCGGACAATCTTGCATTCAGAGCTTCCAAATTTGTAGGTCATGTGATATCTCTCTGCAAATTAAACAGTATAATGTGTAACATTATTTTCATATACACTGTAAAAATTGTGTTTAGGAAATAAACACTTCTATTACATGTTTAGATCTAAACGTGTATAGTATTGTGTTTAACAACTAAACACTTATGTCTTAACATGTTTTATATCTAAACGCGTTGAGAAATTAAACACGTTTTACTGTAAAGTGCAGAGTTATCTTCCCGGAATTGACACACATATATTTGAACGTTAATTTGAGCGGCTATGTAAACAAAGAAAACGCAACAAGCTAAGGTGATGTATCAATGAGAGTTATGACAACCCAATTCAAGGGATAACCATGACGAAATAGTGAAATACGTGAAAGGGCATCTTGTTGCTGCAATACATTAAAGGTTTGTTTTCTTCTTCTTTGCATTAATTAACCACGATGAGCAACGTTAATAAAGTTGACTTGGGATATCTTGAATTCGTTCATAGACTTGCAGGAGAAGAAATAATATCAAATGTCATTAAAAACATCTATATTTATATCTGTGTAGTTTCACTAAAATTTGAACAATTTTGTTTTTCTAAGTAATGTAAAATATCAGTGATAGTGTACTTTTTCTAAAATTTGGCTTTCTTTCCTACAGGCATCGTACGTATAGTCCAGATCGAACTCAAAATACACGTATCAGAGTACCTGGTGTCATCTTCAAGTGCAGTGCTGTTGTTCCATAATCAACACTTTGAAACTTCATTTGTTGAAGATTACTGTGTTAATTTGACAGTGTTTACAATTATCCTCGTGCATTCGGAATGGGTTACTTTCTGGCAGTTATTGATGGGATATAGATTATAATATGTGGTGCTTTGGGACTTGCTGAAAGTTCATAAAATTTGATATTTTGTGATTGACATGAGGAAAACTCTGCAGCCAATTCAAAATATAATGATTATAATAAATATATATATAAATATACATTTTGTATTTTTAGTTTAACAATTCTTTAATAAAGCCTTTTAGAAATATTCAATGAAGTTTTGATATTAAATTGTCAGCTTAATATTATTTTCTTAATAGTTTTGAAGATTAAAAGTTTGTTATCTATATGTACATTATAAATTATATGTCATTCTGATTGAATTGTTGAGACTAATCGAATTTATTCAGTTCTATCTCCTACATTATTTGTGTAAATTAAGTACATGTACATCGCACAGTGACCATTGCATTGTATAATTAAATACATATCCCAACGTTCAGTGGCTTTATGGAAAATAATTAATATTGGTTACATATTTTGAAAATTTTGACAATTATGCGCATTTAAAAAAATATACTTTTTGTGCCTAAATTTACGAGAGTGTTTTGTTTTTCTGCAGGTACAAATTAAACTTATGATGTGTTTAGATTTTAAACACATCTGCTGTTATGTGTTTAGAATTTAAACACTTGTGTTTGTGTTTAGATATGTTTAATTTCTAAGCACACAAGTGTTTAAATTCTAAACACTTTCTAAGACATGTTTAGGAATTTTACATGTTTAGAAATTAAACATATAAAAAAGGAGGTGACAAGAAAGTGTTTAGAAAAGTGTTTGAATTGTAAACACATTTTTTACAGTGTACCTCTTTCTGATGCATGTTCTTTACATAGCCATTTACACACAAAACATTAGCGTATTGTATGGTTTGATGATGTTACCACACTGCATTCTAATAATTAGTTTGAGAATTGAGTACAGAAACTTTTAATATACCCTATTGGGAGGTTGGCAGTATTTACAACACTTGCTTAATAATGGAGATAAACATCTTAATATTCGTATCAATGATGGACTGTTCAGAAGAGTGATTACATCCTCTCGTAAATACACTGGCAATGTGCTGAAATTAACCAGTTACTTGACAAAGTAATGAGTTTTTAAAAAACCTCTTATTCTTGGGAATGGAAAACTGCCACCATCAACTTCACAAAAAATGGCCTGACATGCAATTTATATCAGTATCGAGTGTCAATCAGAAGTGATAGAGATGATATAGCCTGAAAGCTTTTAGCAGAATGAGAGAGAAGTCGGTACATTTTACTCTGAGCTCTTGTAAATATTGTAACAAATAAATATCTGGGGAGGTCTTTGAACTGAAGTTAACCCGGCCATTCAAATAAACAGTTACATGACTGCTTCTTTTTTTTACGAAAAGCTGTATATGAGTATCACACTAAAGACTGCATGCCCATAGAAAAATCAAAGTGTGCTATTTTCAAATTATACCACATTTATAATTGCCTATTTTTTCTCCATTTATAAGTTAGAGATATATATTCCATGTAGGGCTCTCAATTGTCTATAATTGGGGCCAAAGAAAGGCCCAGATCTAAATGTGAAACAGAAAAATCAGTGTGCTATTTTCAAATTATGCTACATTTATCATTGCCCATTTTTCTCCATTTATAAGAGATACCTTGTATATTCCATGCAGAGCTCTCAATTGTCTATAATTGGGGCCATTCGAATGGCCCCGATCTAAATGCAAAATAGGTACGTGTACCTTTTTCAACTGAATAGTGTTACTTTCCCAATTGTCATTTGTAATGATAATCACTAGAATACCAAAATTTAGTGATTTTTTTTTACGTTCATTTTCCCAAAATGTCCCTAATTTCCCAAATGTAACGACTCCAACCCCTGTACAAACAGTGGAGAGAGAGCCCTGCCACGTTCCTGAGTCAATCAAATAGGATACAGTACTGACATAGTATGGTCAAGTAGAGAAGAAAGTCAATATTTTGTAATTATTCTCTGTGTAATTAGAAGACATAAAGAGCTTAAGTCCAGGGTTCCTTCTCCTAAGATTATTAGGTCATATGTAATATTTGTAGAAACAATACATACAGGTGCTCTAGAAAGGGGATCAACTCTATCAGATTAACATAACAAAAAATGGTCAGTTTGTCCTGATATTGTACATCAGTAGAAATGTTTGTGTATCAGATATATCTGTACTTCATCTAACCAAGTAAGCCCCACAATAAACTGTGTATTAGAATCATGTTCCACTCCAAACATATGTAGACCTACATTGTGTACTCATCAGTGTAAGCAGATCAAGTCAGGAAGCTAGAGGTTTATTGATCCACTGAAAAGTCCTTAGCAGTCAAAGAGGAAATGACCATCATCACGATTATGTGTTGCTATTAGCACCTAGCTATCACCTGATGACTTCTGATCACATTAATGAAAATGAAGTCCTCATAATGTCAGTTTGTCCTTAGAGAAGTACAAAACTATTAGCTAGCTTAGTTGCAGCACATACCCTCTCCAATCTGGATTTAAGTTCACTGCATGTTAATAAAAACTAAAGGCCTATGGGCCATAACAGTTACCTTAGTATCATGTTTTTTTTTTCCAGGTATGACCACTTTGTGCCCACCTGGAACTTGCCTAGACTTACAGACATTTCAAGTCTGATGAATCTCTATGGTCATTATCATACATATGCAGCTTGCCTCATAAAATCAGGGGTAACGGAAATAAGGTGCTGTAAAGTTTCTGTTTTAGATTTTGAAACAATGAATAGAATTTATTGTGGGTCTTCTGTTTCTGAATTTTACAGCTTTAACTATAACATTACAAGAGGCCCATGGGCAAAAACACTCACCTTAGTCAATATGACTTTACTTTTCTTCATCAGCAGATTTTTTAATAAAACTTTGATCTCCTATTGTGGCTCCACCTATCCCCAGTGGCCATGATTTCAAACAATTGAACCTACACTATCTGTGAATGCTTTCATACTTATATGAGTAATCAGGGCTTTGTCGTTCTTGAGAAAAAAAAATTACCTATATATTCCTGTGTAAAACTTTGATCACCCATTGTGGCCCCAACAAACCCCCAGGGGTCATGATTTGAACAAATTTGAATCTACTTTACCTGAGAATGCTTCCATATAAATATTAGTAGAATTATGGCTTTGCTATTCTTCAGAAGAAGATATTTTAAGATTTTTCTCCATATATTCCTATGTAAAACTATGATCACCACTTCAAGGCTCTACATTAAATTTTTTTCCTACTTAACCATTCAGACAAGTGACAAAGACATTTACTTTTACGGACTTCAACTTCACTTCGACGAAAAATTTTTGATATTGATTTAATATTGTCAACATGAAAAATTACTTGTGGCCCCATCCTCCCCTTTGAGGTCATGATTTGAATAGACTTGATTTATATTTCACAGCTATAAATATCTTAACCCCCCCTCCCCCCACTTTCTTACACTTAAACAAGAAGGTGGGAAGGGTGGCAACATTTAAAAAACCTAATCTTGATTTTCCAGCACTAAGAACATGAGGCCCAAGGGCCTTAACAGTTACCTGAATAAAATACACAATAGAAGTATACATTAAGATAAAACAAAAACTGATAGATGGAAATATGATGCCCAAAAGCAGGGCTAGACAAATAGCATTGCCCGACGCCCGGGACAACCAATTTTGTTTAGTGGGCAAGTTATTTGATAAGTGGTGCCTGCCCGCGGACAAGTGCTTTTTCCCATTTACAAAAAATCATATACTCAATATGTCTTTTGTGTTACCGCTTTTAAAATATCATGAATCACAACAAAGCATCTGTTTTCGCTGCTGTTGACCACTATTGAATACTCAGTCGGAACTTCTCTAGAATTTACCCATGAATGTGTTGTTAAAATAAACGCAAGTCGTAAAACATGACATCTTCCGATGTCGTCAAAAAAGTTGAATTGGATTTTAGACTTTTTTTATTGACAAAATATTAAATTCATTCTGTGAATACAGACGTGCTACTGTTATTAAAATTGGTTGTTGATTGGCAATCACATAGTCATGAAGTAGATAGCTCAATCGGCATGCAGTAGTGTTCACAGATTTGTCTCATTTGTAGGTTTTTTGAGATCATCTTCACCTTTTTCATTAAATTTATTCAAAGAAAATATATGGAGTATCTTATTGAAGAATTTTGAGGAGAATAGAATGAAACTTTGACTTTACCAATGCCCTGGAAATATCGAAAGAAATCTGGGAGAATTTAGTGATTTTAGATCTAGGTTTGATTCCCGTGTAGTGTCTCAGTTGAGATATAATTTAATGTTAATGATTTTGTTTAAATTAAGAAACAGGTCGGACAAACATATTTTTTGGTAGGACAAGTAATTTTATGATGATAACCTGTCCGAGGGCAAGTAATGCAAAATTCTATTTGTCTACCCCTGCCAAAAGCAAGAGAAATAGGATGATCAAAGGTGAACAAAATACTCATTAACAAATCATAAGGTAGATCAATGTACTTGCCTGCACTTACCAGTGCTAATTTACTCCATTTGTCACTATCAGCATACAGACTTACACAAAGCAATATTGCTTGAGCACATCAAATTAGCTTCTCTTTAATGTACATTTTGTCACATTTTTATTTACCGATTATTTTTAACCCAGCTGGCCAATGAAAACTATGAAAGTACTGTTGCATTATACATTAAAAATTCTTTAATTCAGTTCACCTTTCATGATTAAGTATCATAGGTGAATAGCAAAGGAAAATAACTTCTCCAGGGATAGACATTAACTTTCAGATTCACTTGCCCAAAGGGCAAGAGATCTCAAACTTTGGCTTGTCCGAATGGAAAACTTGGTTGCCCAAAATTAGGAAAGAAGTTAAGAAAAAAATTATTAATTACTGTAAATGTTATGGAAAGAAAAAAAAATGTGACGAAATACACTACTGTCAATTTGGCATTTTGAGATACCTGAAAAAAATTGTACAAAAACGTATATTGCTGTTAATATAACCTGTTAACACACACTGCCATACAGCAATAACCCTCCGTTTCCTTTTAATAAAATTCATATTTTTGAAAATTATTTGCGGTAGGATCGTTTTGCGATTCGTGATTCTCAGAGATAACTGTGAAGCAACGCTTAAGGAAGATAGTTGCTACGAAACATACTTAGTACCTCTTATCTTGATCAGGATACATCGTGTTACAACGTACTTATATTCTGTGTGTGAATAAATAAATAAATAAATAAGAAGTTAACAAAATTTGTTAGACGTAGAGCGTATTTACTACGAAAGAAAATAATCCAGAAACGCTACCAAGAAATTTCGATTGAAAACATTGTCAGTCAGGTGTGGGGGGGGAATCAAGTGTTCAATCTATTGTTTTATTTATAAATTAATGTAAACTAAATATGTACATATGTATGAGAAAAATTCACTTGCCCGATCGGACAAGTATGTCGACAATTTCACTTGCCCTAACTAAGAAGTTACTTGTCCCTGGCAATCGGACAACCGTTAATGTCGATCCCTGTTCTCTCAGCTGAGTACAAATTTCCATATAACATCAATAAAGCCCTGTCCAGAACAAGAATACTTGATCCATGGGTCCAGAATTCACAAATCTGGTAAAACTACCGTTTCTCATTACAACTTTGTGCTTTATTTACCATTTTTTTTTACAATTTTGTTTGCCTCCTAGATATCCAGGAGCAGAAAAGAAGATTTTCAAAGCATTAATGTGTTTAAATTTCAAAAAAATAAAGCATTTTCACTGCATAATCAATGGAGCCCCACCCCACCACACGAACCTCTAACTAAGGGGCCATGAATTTCACAATTTTGGGAGAGGCATCCTTGCTCATAATAACCATGCATAAAATTGGTTGACTATGGTTCAGTGGTTCCAGAGAAGAAGCTGAACATGTTCAAATGTTAGAGGATTTATCCATGTTGTTTTAACTACCAGTTACCAGAACTTTTCCCCTTCGGGAAAAAATGTCAAATTCCCCTTTCAGTCATAGCAAATTTCCTGATTAAACATACATGCAGCATTTGAAATATATAATAATTATATGATTTTACAAACAATTTGAATGTATGCTTTGTTGCTCTGTTAATTTATTTAATATGTGACCAAAAAAAAAAAAACGAAACGAAACGAAACATTGGTAATTTGAATTGACCATAAATTGAAAATGAAAGTAGATCAAAATAAACAAGATGGATGCCAAGGGATCCAGAAGATTGAGTTTGAAGAGTATTAAGCTTTATTTAAGTGAATTTCTTTATAATAAAAAGTTGAAACAGTGAGTAAATATTGTGAAATGATATGTCAGTTAACTTGTATTTCAAATAAACCTAAAAAATCGAAATTATATGTAACGTAAGATGTATAATACATCCAATAATTTACACAAACGTCGTATCGTCAGCCGTCGGACATGAATTTCAGCCGACTATGGTTATTATAAAAGTCGCTTATTATAAAGTTTTGGCCTGACAAATAAACTATGATAATAAACGAATTGTACTGTATTTACGATTGTAAGTTCTAGAAATGACCCTTAGATTAGCCCTCAAAATGCAGATTTTTGCCAAAATTTTTTGAAAATTTCCAGGGGAATATATCTCTTAAATGCCATAGTATATTCACACCTCTAGTCAATGTCAACCAATCATTCTCATTTTTCCCCTTTATGTGAAAAGGGTAGTCAAATAAAATAGCTTGATAAATCCTTGTGTTAACGCATGCCGCACAACGCATGAGGATGAAAACAGAAGTAATTGGTCATCTGAGTGACTTTGGTGACTAAATATTTGTTTTGATTTTTCAATAAATGACCTACCAGTACTTAGCCCCATCCTTGGGACTGAAACAAGGACCAAGGGATTTTCAAAATTGTTATTAATTCTGAATATATGACCAACTTAACAAACATAATCATCTAGACCTAGTAATCAAGGGTACCCAGTATTACTATATAAAGTTTAAAATAAGTTAAAGAAATTAAATGTCACGGTGAATATCATCGGGGGGGGGGGGGGGGGGGGGGGGGTCATAACAACAAGAGCATACGTGATTGGGCAGTTTCCTTATTCCTAGCAGAAACATATCACGTATGCTCTAAATTTCATTATTTTACCTATCTGAGTAAACCTCACAGTAGCATTGCAATATGCATCAAATCTTAAAATACGCACGGAAGTAATTTTTTGTTTTGTAGTGAAAAATGACAATATATCAGTGTTGAGATGTAAATGAAACGTGAAACTTTATATTTATAGCTTTCAAGAATAACGTGTGCCTCAAGATTAAATTCCACAGGCCTCTATTGTAAACACACACGTGTGGTAAGTGTGGTAATTTGGTATTGAAACCGCGACATTCATCAAATTATTTCATTTACTCAGTGACAGAGATGACACTTTCAATTCATACAAACTTTCTCAAGATACGCACAATAATATAACAATACGCAAATACAAAGTAGAGCTCACCGAAGCGGCTCTATGGAAACGACCCGAATTTTAACCTGTTAAATTTACCAGAAGTGAGTATTGTCAACTCGTACATAAAATTGCAGGGTTTGAAGGTAGTAAAAATGTGATATTTTAAGAACTATTTCACTGATTAACTTGAAAATGAATATAGGGTTCATCCTTTTACAATGCCACATACGTATGTGAAGGCTGAGAAATGATAGTGCAAAAGTTCTCTTTAAATCTTGCCCACAAGCTGTAACGGACACACTAACACACACACACATACGCATAGTAGCAATGCTATATCCCCTCCGCAACTACAGTAGTTGCGCGAGGGGATAATAAAGCTTTGATCCCTACCCCTGGGGTCATGATTTGAACAAGCTTGAATCTGAACTACATAAGGATGCTTGCATATTTTAAAATATGACTAATAATAGTCCTACTACTGTAGATTCCTAAATATATGCGAGGAAAAAATTATCGCGTAATTACGCGAGATGCACCACTCACGAAATAAAGTACTCGCTTTTATTTTTATGGTGCTTTAATGTATGTAAAATCTCTATATAAATCACCGAATCGTGAATTATTGTTCTTGCGATTTGACGCCCTTGGGCTATTTCGCGATATTAAGTACTCACGTAAAATAAGGAATCTACAGTATTCTTTCCCCAAGGATAATTAGTGTCAAGTTTGGTTGAAATTGGTTCAGTGGTTCTTGAGAAGAAGATGAAGATGTGAAAAGTTTACAACAAAGACAATGATAATGGCACAATGCCAACGACAACCAAGACCATGACAGACAAATTTTGATCAGAAAAGGTCACTTCACACTTCAGCTCAGATGAGCTATAAATAAACATGAGAAAGAAATATTTTTAGAAGTTGATAGAGTGTAATTACATGAAAATAAAGTGATTTACAATAACTTTAAAATGAACTTAGGAATAAAACCTGCTCCAAAAACTATAACCTGCTCCAAAAACTCCTGTCCCAAAAACATAAGCCTGGCACTTTTAATAAAAAATATTAACAAAAATGCAGCATCTGAAATTTGAATGGAACAATAAAACATACTAGATGCTGATCATGCATCAATCATGCAACTAGGATCAATACAGGGCTCAGAAATACTTAGATACTGGGAGGCAGAGGGTATTACATAACCTCCCCCTTCTTTGTTTAGGTGAGCTAAAAAAAGAGTTGCATGGAACTTGCATGGTTACATGTAACTGTTTCATATAAATTATCAATGGTACAGATAAGTCTGATGTTTCAACACTCAAGCAGAGAGCAGTAATCTTGGACAGTTCCACTATACCTCCAACAGTCTTTTTGGGGCTCTTCTTAGCCAGCATGGCATCTGGACAGAACAGAATTACAGGTGTTCTCCTGGCATATCCAGTCCATTGTATGTTCAGTTTCTCACTGTGCCTTATAAAGAAAAGGATAAGACTTGGCAAACATTGTTTCACAAAAAAACAAACAAACAAAAAAAAAAGACAATCAAACAAACAAACACTTATGTATTGTACTTGCTTTTGTTGGTTATTGAGGATGGCTCATACTTTTTGCACATGTATATATACTTTATCAAAATATTTAATTTAATAAGTGTTAATTCATAATTAAAACAATAAATAATTTTTAATCAGTAATGAATATATATGACAATTTCTGTTATTGTTGAAAGTGTAAAACATGTGAACATCATGAGATAATTGAAGCCATGTGGAGCAAGTGATGGGTAAATTTCAAAATAATTACAAAAACAGGAAAACCTCAATATCTCAAATTCAAACGTAACTAAAAATACAGGAAAACCTCAGTATCTCAAACTTCTCATAACTATAAATACAGTAAACCTTCAGTATCTCAAACTCACACATAACTACAAATACAGTAAAACCTCAGTATCTGAAACGCCAAATACATAACTAGAGTGTTCCAAGGAACGTATGCGTTGCCTGCTTTGTAGCTTCACTAAAGATTTAAATAAATCTAAGAGTGGTCAACTTTTTATTTACTTTTAGCATGATAGTTCATGCATTTGCCTGGAAAGAAAAAATGGATAGTATAAGACTGCGACAGAATTTGACAATCAAAGAAAATATGGTTCCCTAACCCTAAAATGAATTATCAAATTGAAATTATTAGAAATAACTATTTATCATTTTATTAATACGTGTTTCCAACAATCTTAAGAGCTTTCAGTCTGTCTTTACTGCAATTATCAGTCTACACAATCCATTGTGGAATACCGATATATTTGAACATCAGTTAGTGGTGTACCTGAATATCATACAGTTTCAACATGTTCAAAGTACAGTATCATGAGCTCAAAAACTTGTATAAATACAATTCATCAGAATTCTGCCTCTCAAAATTCAAAAATTAAAATAAACTGCTCCAGGTATTTTTTGCAATATAGGTCAAGGTCAATGTCTATATTATTGGAATGCTGGTATTTTTCATAGTCTTATGACAAACAGTGTACATGCTAAATAGCATATGTTTAACTCTTAAATGTCAAAAATATGCTGTACACTTTTAGCATGATAGTTCAAAGGTCAAGGGTCACAAGGTTAGTAATCATGGTAATTTACAAAAGCCATAATGCCTGGCAACATATGTGGAAAATATGAAGTCCATTCCTCTTACAGTTCTCGAGATATATGGTGAGATGGACGGACGGACAGACAGCTAGACAGATGCCAGGTAAAGTGATCCCTAAGTGCCGCTCTGATCTCTGCTCTGCAGGTGACACAAAAACCAGTATCTCAAACATAACTACAAATACATGAAAATCTCAATCTCAACACACCTACAAACCAGGCAACCTTGACTATCTTAACACAATACAACTGCAAATACAAAAAAACTCAATACCTAAAACTCAAACATACCTACAAATACAGGAAATCCTGACAATCTCAAACACAATAAAATTACAAATACAAAAGAAACTCAGTGTCTCAAATATAACTACAAATACTGTAAAAACTCAGAATCCTAAACTCAATATAACTACAAATAGAGGAAAACCTCAATATCTCCAACTTACCATAACTATAAATACAGTAAAACCTCAGAATCCCAAACTCAGGATAACTACAAATACAGTTGAACCTTGGTGTCTCAAACTTAATGTAGCTACAAATACAGGAAAACCTCAATATCTCAAACTTACCATAACTACAAATAGAGTAAAACCTTAGTATCCCAAACTCAGTATAATTACAAATACAGGAAAACGTCAAGTATCTCAAACTCAATATAACTACAAAACAGTAAAACCTCAGTATTTCAAACTTAATATATCTACAAATACAGTAAAACCTAAGTATCTCAATCCCAATGTAACTACAAATAGACAAACCTCAGTTTCTCCAGCTCAATATAACTACAAATACAGTAAAACCTCAGTATCTCAAACTCAACATAACTAGGAATACAGTAAAACTTTAGTATCTCAAACTAAATGTAACTACAAATATAGTAAAACTTCAGTATCTCAAACTTAATATAAATACAAATACAGTAAAACCTCAGTATCTCTAACTCAAAATAAATACAAATACAGTAAAACCTCAATATCTCAAACTCAATATATCTACAAATACAATTAAACCTCAGTTTCTCAAACTCAGTAAAACTACAAACACAGGAAAACTTCAGTCATCTCAAACTCAATATTACTACAAATACAGTAAAACCTAAGTATCTCAATCCCAATGTAACTACAAATAGACAAACCTCAGTTTCTCCAGCTCAATATAACTACAAATACAGTAAAACCTCAGTATCTCAATCCCAATGTAACTACAAACAGACAAACCTCAGTTTCTCAAACTCAATATAAATACAAATACAGGAAAACTTCAGTATCTCAAACTCAATATAACTACAAATAGTCAATCCTCAGTATTTGAAACTCAGTATAACTACAATTACATGAAAACTTCATTATCTGAAACTCAATATACAGTAAAACTCAGTTATAGCGAAGTTCTAGGGACCTCCAAATTTACTTCGCTATATCCTTAATTCGCTATATCCGTATAACAAATTCCTTAACAAATATATATCGAATTCGTAATATAGATTTTTTTCCTTTAAGTTTGGCTACCAAATGTATTTAGTGAAGTATAAACTATAAAAATTACCTTGGAGTTCTAAAGTTTTTTTGGTTAAATTGAGTTTCAAAAATAAAAACTTACAAAATTATGTCAGTTCAATATCTTGAATTCTTAAACCTATGAAAATTCGCTATAAGAGATGTAAATTGCGTAATTTTTAACGTCTAGGGGATACAAAATCATTTCACTATGACCGTAAATTCTCTATATCCGAGTTCGTTATATCCGTTAAATTTTACAAGGAATTGTTAAGAATTTCACTGGGGATTGCAAAAAACTTCGCTATATATATCCGTAAATTTGCTATATCCATGTTTGTACTAATCGAGTTTTACTGTAGCTACAAATACAGTTAAATCTCATCTTGACTGAAATAGTCTCCTTGCTAACTAATGGTTCAAGATGATGAAATTGAAACCCAAAACTAATGGAAGGACCCTCAGATATATCCTTGGAATTTGTCATTGTGGTGTTTGAGATATCAAAGTTCAACTGTTAAAGTAACAATCAACTATGAACAAAAAAAAAATGCAAACTATAGGAGATCTCAGAAAAAATGAAATCAAGATACCTATACATGACTTCTCTGAAACAAAAATTAAAAAAATAAGAATAATTCTAAGAGATAGATTTTGTTCATTGTCAATAAGACAATGTATTGTTCAGAAATATTTTAAATGAGGATAAATTTCTCATATTAAGAAGTATATTTACAGAAGCAAATAACCTTGCATTGCCTCCATTTTTATATGTTAAGGAGATTATGCTCTCCATTTCCTTTTTAGCATACAACCATATACAAATATTTACTGGTGAATTTTTGGACAAAATTCTACCTAAGAGATGGGAGAGGCTCTCAGACAACTTGCAATATTCAGTGCTGATAAAAGTATATATCATATGTTAAATATCTCTACTAAACATTCACAAGATTGTAAACAGAATACTGTACAGCCTGTCCGTGGCACAAAAATGCAGAACTGACAATTTATAATGAGAATTGAGATGGTAATTTGTGAAGCTTTCAGTACAATAAAAATGCAAATATTTGGCAATTTATCTTGTTTAGCATGTATCAAATTACAAATAAACAATCAAGAGGTAAGATCAAATGAATGTAAATGTGTGATGTAAAGTAGGCTCTGTTTGCACCTGTCCATGCATCATTGATTTACGCTGTGCTATTAACATACACTATAACAAATGTCCCCATATTAAAATCAGACAATTTATATACACAATGTATAAACCATCAATCTGCTGATGCAGAATTTTGAAGTGTTAAATAATATTTTACATTAAAATTTATGTGTGTGTGTGTGTACAAAAGACAACAAAATATCTAAAAATAGTTTTCATTCCTTTGTTTCCAAGCTATGTCTAGAAAGTGGCAGTCTCCCAGATCAATAGAAATTTACCAATGATTAAAGATTTCTAACACTACGTGTCTAGAGTATCTACACTCACTATACATAGACCGCACACAGTATAGATATCTGCACTATAGGTATTACCTTTTAGATGCCTTGGGGGACCTGCGTATTAAAACATCTTTATCTTTATTCTGGAGATGGTACATGAATCTTCTGTCATGTTTCCTTGTTAACTTACTGGCCTATCATGGTGTTTTTTTGTCAAGGGATCTGTTCATGATTTTGTCATGATTAATGGGAATATTTTGAGTCAAGATTAGAGAACATTCCTAAAATCAATTTTCCAGCACATACTAAGCTCTAGACTTTCACTTCAACAGTCACACATGTGAAAGTGCTCTGTCAAATTACTTGTCCTTTTTAAATTATCAAAATCAGAGCTTAGCTCTGAGGAATTCTCTGTTTTAATTTGACGTAGTTTCATGTAGCAGATTGTGCAATCATAAATCAATGCTTATGCAATTAATTTCTTTCTAATGAATAAATTCTGGATTTCTTCAAATTTTGCATGAACATTTCCTTTGCATATTCTGTAAATACTTGTCTTCTTTGAAACCATCATAACTGAACAATGATTAAAGGTAAACATTGTTTTAAAGTGTTGCTACTCTATTGTTAGATTAAATTAGATTATTTACTTTCATTTCCACAATTTTTACAAACATAGGTAATCAAAGATTACAAAGCGACTTATGTTATACATATCAGATAGGCAAAGTCTCAAACCAAATAAATGTTTTAATTGGTAACTAGCATCACTAGATACAACATTCCATACAAGTTTGGTCTGGGTAGAACTTACAGTAACTTGGGTATATACCAATTAAGTAAACTACCTCAATCATCAATCAAGGTCAAATTCAGCATCTAAAGCTGGTCCGGTAGTGTGAATTTTTCTATGCAGTTTAAAGAAGGCCTTTCGTTACATTGACACAGAAATGTTTCAAAAGCAACTTGTCACATATAAGGAAAATGCAGGTCAGATCTAACATCCAAAGCATGTTTGGTAATATCTAGATGCATCAGCCATGCATTGCCAAGTTTAATCATGGCTTGAAGGCTACTTGGGAATATATTTTCTCTGAAAACTTTAACCTGCTTAATCATCTGAAAAATGTAGTCAGATCCAGCACCCGAAGCAAGTCTGGTACATCAATATACCCTCTATGCAAGTTAAGTCATCATATGGCTTGAAAGTAACTTGAGAATAAACCTGCTCCAAAAATTTTAACCTGTTCAATAAACTGGACAATGTAGGTCAGATCCACAATCTAAAGGAAGTCGACTATTGTGCCTCCCTGGATGCATCATTCATGCAAATTTAGTATACACAAGTCATTTAGTTACTTGGGAATGAAACCTGCTCCAAATACATTTACCTATTCATTCATCTGGAAAATGTAGGTCAGATCATTCATCAAACTTCTGTAGCAAGTCTAATAGAACATATCCCTAGATGCATCATCCATGCAAGTTTGGTCAAGGCAGGGCATATAGTTACTAGGGCTGGGACGATATATCGAGATATCGATAATATCGATTCAATGTTAGGATGATACGCATATCGATACGTATGAAGAAATATCGACATATCGTCCAAAAAATTCTGAATTATGTTTTTCTTTGTTTACTTAACATTTGGGTTTAATATATAAAAATAATATGCTTAATATAAATATAAATATGAAATACATAATAATTAAGACCATTTGTGCAAAATAATTAAGTTTTACAACAGATATGCAACTTCTTTGGATAAATTATTCTTATTTGTGAAGAAATGTTTTGTTCATTTCAATATAAAAAAAGAATTTATAACAAATTAAACATATCGTGATACATATCGTATCGTGGCTCAAATATCGGGATACGTATCGATATAGAAAAAGTTGTATCGTCCCAGCCCTAATAGTTACTTGGGAATAGTCCTCCTAAACTTTTAACCTGCTCCAAAAACTTCAACATGCTCAAATACTTTAACCTGGTCATCCTTCTTGAATATATTGGATGAAAATGCAGAAACTGATACATGACTGGTACAGTGTGATATACTTAGTAGATGCATCATCCATGCAACTCAAATTGATATAGGACAAAAAGTACTTAGAAAGAAAACTACTTCAAAAAATTTACCTGGAACGCTGAAGCCGGTATAGCATAAGCTCCCTGACTTCATCAAAATGAGCTAAAAAGGTTTTTTGTTAGTTGCTTATAAATTATGAAATGCCAAAGTGACCTGCTAATAAATTATGAAATGCCAAAGTGACCTTCAATTCTGTGTAGGGTTGCAGTTAAGATTCATTTGAAGTTCCTGACTATGGAAGGAAATCTAGAAGATCAGGCCACATTTTATTAACTGTTTACAAAAAACTTTGAAAGCTATCTATTCCATTTGTGCAATAGATGCTCATGCCAATTTTATATTAAAAAGTCTGTTGAAGTTTAATGAAAATGGGTTGTCTGTACATGTGACACAGGTAACACTTGTAGATCTATCATCTCTGTAATAATGTCAAACAGTTTCTTATCTTGTTTTAGTAAAACATTTTAATGCAGTCCATAGATCTATCGAAATTGAAAACACATTGTACAAATTTTAAAAAAACCAAGACAATTTTTTTCAAAACAAAATGTTTGCAGTAAGGACAAGCTGTAATCTAAATTTTACTTGCATAGGCAAGTGGGCTGAGTGATACTGCAACTCTATAAATACTACACAATTGAAAACTGAAGAAATTTTATGATAATACATATTCAGTGATTCATTTTGGTCTGCGCCCTGCGTAAATTACACATCAATGTTGCTTTGGATGCATTATTTCAATAAATGTGCATCCCAGTGGATGCAATAAATTTGTAAAAGACATGTATTGTTTTATATTATTTCGGTACAATCTGATTCAAAACTTGGTTGATTTCTTCATATCCACGTGCTAAACCATAGGCATGAGCAATTTTGACAGGTATGAGGTCGCCAACAATAGGTCAGATTTCACACTTCATCTTCACACAGCAATTATCAGTAAATATTTCAAAGTTAGAAAGCATAGTTTTTGATTATGTCTACTATGGAACATATCTGAACCGTATACATTTGTATTTGTATTTTAGTCATAACATTTATCATTTAATTTTTTCCTTAGAAGTATAATAAGCTAATAAGTATTTGAACATTCTTCATGTTCTTCTTTCTGATTATTTTTCTTTTTTTAAAAACTTTTTCTACTTCATTAGCTGGTCTGCTTCTGTGTATTTTATGACTGACTATGTGTGAGCTTGTATTTATGATCTAAAAATAAGAACCAAGGTGCACAGATGACAATATATTATCATCATGCCACAAAATCGTATATTCTTACTTCCAATTGATATTAAATGCACTCAAAGTTACAGTAAAAAGTTTGCACTTTCCTAAAATACCCTTTTTATATTTCACCAGAATTTCTTCTGCAATATCTAATAAACGGTACCCTTGGATTTCACGCATTGATTTTGGCATGGGACTCACTGTTGTCATTAAAAGGGGTCCTTTGGACCCATGATAACCATTTTCAAAATGAAGTACTGCATATTCTAAAGGATGTATGTACTACAGAAAAATCGGAAAAGTTTGTAAAATAGAAAAACTTACTCATCTTCCTCATCGCTCTCATAATCTGAGTCCCGGTCACTGCGATCATCCCCATCGCTCGGTTCTGATGGGGTCATGGAGCCAGCATCAGAATCACCTGGTTTTGAAGCCATTCTTCCACAGCTTTTTTAGAGCGTTATAGCAATGTTCTTAATCCTAATTCCATCAGGAATATCTCATCATCCATGTGCCATTGTTAACTACAAATTGATATCATCATCTTTTCACATTTTATTGAGAAAAAAAACAGAAGTCTCTAATGAAACTGTAGCTCTACTGGGGTGTACTTATAATAAAGAAAGATTTATCTTACTGTAGTCTATTTGGCAATGTGTAAAAAGTTTATTCAGCCAAAGTTGTAGGAGAAGTAGCCTTTTAAAAGAATTCAAAGAATTTTTGATTTTCAGTAGCCATGGAACATCATTTGTTGAAATCAAAAACTATGTACATATGTACAAAACTGTCCACATTTTATTTTGTTTATAGCATTGTCATCTGCATTTTTTACTTCAATAGATAAATTTACATGCTTGATTGTTCTGATGAAGACTGTCCCTGGTTGAAATTTGTCAACAAAATAAATTTACTGCTGCATTCTCATGAAGTGTTGGTGATCAGATCTGTTTTATATCTTTAAGTTTACAACTTTAGGTACAGACCCTAAATACCGTTTGGTATCCACATGTGAGAATCTTCCGCAATTTCAACGGTCAGACAACCTTAAGGTTTTAGTATGCTGTTTTTCTTCGTTTTGAAATCAAAAACTGATATACATGTGTATAGAATTATTTATTATAGTATAGTCTAATTGTGTACTAAGTCATTGAAATTGGACAAAAACGTAGGAGGAGTAGCATATCGAATGAATGTAAAAAAAAAATTAGTGGCAAATTCGTTAAAATCAATACCTGATATACATATATATATACTCTTAGTATAATCCAATTGTGTATCAAGTCATTGAAATTGGACCAAAACAGTAGAAGGAGTAGCATTGAAAAATTGTTTACAGACAGACGATGCACACCTTGCTTATGCATAGGCTCTTCTGGTCTCTGAACAGTAGAGCTAAAAAAAAACATGCCTATAGATCTCTGGTGGTGGTCAAGGTATACATGTGAACACAAACTCAGTTTTTCCTTTACAGAGAACATTTATGCAAGTACAGGTAAACTTCGTTATGTCGACATCGACAGGACTATCGGAAAATGTCGAGATATCCGAGGTGTCGAGATATCAGAGTTGAGACTTGACGTCCAAGATTTCATTGCATTGCAAAACAGACAAGCTTATTATATGTACATGACTTTAATATAGACTGTAGCTCAACATATTTCAGAATTCCCTCCATTTTAATAAAAATCTAAGAAGTTATCTTAAAAATCTTGTTTATAAAACGTATTCTTTATCGAAATCTTTCTAAATTCACAAAGTTTCAGCACAAAGATACAGCATTGAGCTGCATTCGCGTGTAACTTGCCTTTTCGTCAGAACAGGATACGAAATGCGCTCTATAAACTTCGAACCGTATAAAGTCGACATCCGATATACGGTAAAAAAAATTAAATGTGGATTATGTTTTTCTTATTTCATTCAGGAAGAATGTACATTCAAATTATTTTTTTAAAGAAATTTGTGTATCTAAACTAACGTAGTGATGTTACAGATGCACGAATTACGGCTGATTCGGTCAATCGTGTCGTTAATTGTATTGTTTCCTGTTGAATACATTTTAACTACAAAATATCATTAAAACATTTTTTTAATTCCTTAGTTTGAATTTTTCAGTGTGTTTGTTCTTCATTGTAAATTAGTTATCTTTTTCAAATTTAAAAGTTATGTTACGTTTCGATATAACATATGTACATTTACGCAGAATCGTGTAGATTTAGCAATGATATTACTCAAGCTCAATTAACTTTTATAAAATTAATTAAGCAGCGTGCAGTCAAAACATGGGTCTGAAAGGTGTGAAACTTTGACGACGTCGAGATACCCGGAGTCATCCGTGCGTGACGAGCGATCCTATCTGACAAACAGTTAGGTTCAGTAGAGCAGAAAATTGACGATGTCGACATATGCCAGGTAAATTTTGCTCTTGGGACTGTGAATATACGTCGAGATAACCCGGGTTGTCGACATTACCGAGGTCGACATATCAGAGTTTTTGCAAATCATTTATATAGTAAATACTGCCGGGACAGCGGAAGGATGTCGACATATCCCAGGTTGTCGACATATCCGATGTCGAGATACCGAAGTTTACCTGTATACTGTTTGCAGTTATTACAGTGTTATTACTAAAAAAGAAAATATTCACATTTTCAAATATCCTCCCTTAAGATTCTTTATACAGTTGAACTTTGGTATCTCGAACACTGATATCTCGAGTACCATGGATATGTCAAAGTGATTTGGAAGTCCCAAACATGTATTCTTTAAGTATTTTACCCCTGATATCTTGAATACTCAGACATCTCAAAGTATTTTCTTGTTTCATCATGTTCAAGATAATGAGGTTTGACTGTAAATTAGAAAATGCGTCATTTTCTCATGAACTAACTTAGATGAACATGATTATCTCCATTGAGAGATTCTAATACCTTATTTGATGTCAAAACAATAGTGCTACCTGTTTCATTTCATAAATTTAGTTAAATGACATATTTCATGGCCCATTTCTTAAATGAATACATTGTGTGTTAATATTTTAAATCAATTTAAATGAAAATCATCTGATTTTCATGATACATCTCATTTCTATCAAATCTACCTAAATAAAAGAATTTCATATTTTCATTATGGATTAAACAGCTGATTAAAATATTTCAAGCAATATAAAAATATTCATAATTTTAAAGAGACAATGTCATTATATTTAATTCCATTTCATGGTATTTAATTTCAAATCAAATTTATTATTTTAACTTCATTAAATATTAAACAGCTGTTTACGGTTTAACGACAGTAGGTGCAAACCAAGTCATAAAATTAAAGAGAAGATTTAATTCAAACTGCATTGAATATTCTACTGTCTTTTAAGTATTAAGACTATGTCTTCATCTTTATAATGTACAGTTATTAAAAGAGAGTTGTAGATCAGTCAGCGTGTGGAGCACATGCATAGTTGTCATGGCATCAGTAAACTATCTGAACACTGCATCGCCACAATATCAACTTCCGGTTTAACATAATGTGCTGTTGCTTAACAAATGCAGCGTTTTATCTGCTTAAAAACGACTTCATATGAACTTTTCTTAAAATTTTCAAACATTAAGCAGTTACTTTCACTGACCTGATACAGATAACCACGACAGTAGATAAATGTAAACAAAAGCACTGTTGAAGTTTGTTTCGACCACTTTAAGAGAAGTTTCACAGAAAATGAAATGAAAAATATTACAGAAATATTAATCAAATGTGTATCTAATACTACACACATGTACATTATACAAACAAACCTTAATCAGCTTCAGATTTCCTTAAAAGTCATTATAGCAGGTTTGGACAAGGCCAGCAGGCGCGATGGCTACACGGAACTATGGGTAGGATGAAAATAATTTTAAAATTGGGAAAATCAACCTGGCCAGTTCCGGATCATGAAATGAATTTTTAAAAATATTATAAATTAACTTCCAGGAGCGATTCCACTTCATTCCACTGAACATATGCGAGCTGTTTTTTTAATGTGAACAAAAAAAAATCACAAGTAAATTTCACCAGGGACATATAGAGTTTGGGTTTTATATATTTGTTTTATGACAATCTCAAATCTTTTGCAATGTTCATATTTATTTTGAGAGGTCTATGCATATAAAAAAAAAATAAAATTAAAAAAAAAACTCTATCCTTTAACTCAGAGTATTTGAACTACTTTCAAAAACTTCATGTTCAAGCATATTGATCACTTGGGTCGAAAAAAAAACACACAGTCGAATATAATATCAAATTAGACAAGTTTTAAACTTCACGTTTCCACAAAATCAGTTTATGAGTTGCCTATCTGGCCATCTTTCTGTATCTTTTCCTACATTGCAGAGAGAGAGATTAAAATTCTTACAAGTGTACTTTTTTGCTTGAAATTGATAAAGTACGTGATCCCCCCCCCCCCGTTTTTTTTAATTAATTAAAATTTTAACTTCCGGTTTAACATAATGTGCTGTTGCTTAACAAATAAAACAATAACAATAATACAAAAAAAAAAACAAAACATAACAATAATAATGAAAACTGAAAAAAAAGTCACCTCTCTTATTGTCGCAAAAGTAGGGTCTGTTTTATTTCAATCTAATACAACTAGTATTTATTATTGTAAAAAAAAAATTATCATACATTATTTCTCAACTTCAAAAATTATACCTTTAGATAAGAAAAATAGTGAATATGTATTCAGTAGTCCCTTATTCCCTATTGAGAGGTTGATGGCTAGTTCTAATACCCGGGGAATAAGTAGTCCATATGCACATTCGTGCATTGAGTCTCTCTCTCTCTCTCTCTCTCTCTCTCTCTCTCTCTTTTATTATACAAATGTATGTTGGCTGGTGGCCAAAGCTGCAAAAATATCACTACTAACTATTATAGCATAGTCCAATCATATTGCAGACACAGGGCGCATCCTCCTTTGTTTCCCAAATGACGTAATGTTTGCACTCTCCAATCTTGTTCTGTCGGACTGTATATTCGTAACACATCTTGTCAGTCGGTTTTACATTTTATGTGTAATTTGAACATTTGAGCATGTAATTATTTATAACCAGATGTTTATCAAATGTGTTCAGAAATGTTTGGCGATGCGCCAGAAAAATAAATAGGTCTACTATATGCCATGTGTATACTGGGCGAGTTTATTGCAAACCAATCAGAATTTGGTATAGTCTAAGAATGGCTGCGACGTCGGATAATCAGCATGACTGTAGTTAGTCCGGAGATTAAGATTTAGATTATTTGAAAAAAGAAAAGAAAAATTCATTATCAACAGATTCAAAATATGGACACTGATCACCCAATTCACAAAATTCTATGAATTATATCAGAAACCGGCAAGTTGACCTAGATTTTTGGCAATCTGACACCCCTACATCTTGGAATCGTCTGGTGATTGATAAACACTGACATTTCATTTACAACAGTAGTACGAGAAAATTATCAATATTTTGTGCATAAAGCAACATTTTGAAATCGTCATCAAACGGAACAGTTGTGAATTACGATGCATTGCAGTGGAGAACATTCAGTGTGTTTTAGTGTATAATTCAAATTAATATATAGTTTTCTTCTAATGCTGACAAGGGTTATATTTTGGCAATTCGCCAGTGTTGGAGGTTTGACTGTGACGTGCCGGTGGGACCCGGACAGTGGTCTTCATGTTTAATGACAACCCAGGGAACCGACATGCTGAAGTACCTTACGCAGAAATTCAGATCTCAGACTTTAAATGAAATTCAACCTTTTCAAAATAAGGTGAGGCTCAATTCTTCTTTGTTCCTCAACTTATCAAATGTCAAGGAACATGTTTAACTTCACGTGCAAAAAAATTCAATGTGCATACTATCTTAGTGCTGTAATTTTAAGAAAGGAAATTTTGTCATCATTTATTAATTTTTCAAGCTGAAACTTAGTCCAGCCTATTTTCCCCCAATTTCATTACTTATGTTTAATTTTTTTTAAACCAAATGGCTCATCAGATTAAACAATAACATTCAACAGAATAAAAAAAATTGCATTTACATAAGATATACAGGATACAAAATATTCCATTGAAAAGTAATGCACATAATTAATAACATTTAAACTTTGCATCATTCTAAATTCATATAATGAATGTTTGGGAACTGACGATGCATCGGGATAAAATTATCTACTAAGTGTTAAATATTATTCCTTAATTAGTGTCGATCAGTATAAGTGTTAAAAATTAATGAATAACGATTTTAAAATGTTATTCTAAGATGAAGCTAATGACAATGTGTTACGTAAGCTTCAAATAAGTTCACATTATGAAACTGTTTCTATATAAAAAAAAAAAAATCAAATGTACTGCAGCTACACCCATGTATATCATTCTCTCTCTCTCTCTCTCTCTCTCTCTCTCTCTCTGTCTCTCTCTCTCTCTCTGCAAATAATTTTGTTTAAACGTAAGACGAGATAATCACACTGTGTATACATGTAAAGGCTGTATTTAGTTAAGACATGCTGGTGTACATTATATATATATATAGAGAGAGAGAGAGAGAGCAAAATTATACCGAAGAAATTCAAATACGATGTTTCATTTGCAAGCAAAATTAGTGGGGTTTTTTTTTATCAGCACCTCATCAGAAAATGCAGTCGTCATCCCCCCTCCTTTGTTTGCAATAACAAAGACTCCCTTCAATGCAGATCTGATGCTTCCTCACTTAGTCCCGCCATCTGTAGTCTTTGAATAACATTGATATAATGGAATGAGCCCTGCATGCATGCGAGATTCCTGTCCTCACACAGAAGTTTAACAATAACAAACGCGTGATAAGCATAAATTACTATACCAAACCATGAATCCATCACACAAAGTCGGAATGTAAACTGCCCAACAGTAAATAAAAAAAGTAGAACACGACTAAACCGAATTAGTAAACTTACAGTCACCCCATATCAAAAACTGCTGAAAGAAATATTGAAAACACCAATTCTAGATGATCTATGAATCGACAAATCAAATTTTTTATTTGTGACGTCATATATATTGTAGGGCGACGAGGACCACGACTCAGGGACGGAGTCGGACGAGGACATACACGATGAGCTAGAGGACGTAGGTTAGTACAATACTGGACAAATTTGCCTTCTTATTTTTATTTTAATGTTTGGTCTTTTTTTTTCCCTTTATTGTTTGTTGAAACAGTTTGTTTGGTTATTTTCTTTTGGTCGCCCTTTTATTTAAAAAAAAAGACACTTTCAAAACCCTAAGGTACATGTTTTTGAAATATTTGGTCACTCTTACATATACAGTATATGTTGGAGCAATCATTTTTAACTTCAGATTGAAACTTACCGATAGGACGAATCCATGTGTTGAGGAATCTTCTAAATAACTCTAACATACCGCTATGATACGATATTGTCCCACGGACCCACTGTGTTGAGGATTCTTGATAACTCTAGGTATAATACGATACGATGAGTGAGTGAGTAGAGTTGTGGGTCGAGGAAGTTATATTCATGTTTCACCAAATAAGAAAGATTTTTTCTGCTTTAAAAAAAGGAAAGCCGAAAACTAGCAGGTATAGCAGTCCGATGGTCACTCTGGAGTCGAAGTCACTGTTTTCATCAGATTCTCGAACTTTTGCCGGAGGTCTTGATTCGTTTTTGGTTTCAGCTGATTATTAAATTTTTTTGAAACATTTGAACTACATGCAAAATGTATCAACTCGACCAGTATATTTAAACGGAAATTCTTTTAAAAATAGTAAAATTCTAAAGTAAAATTAACTAAATTTTACTAAAATGACATCATCATTATGCACGAACAAATATATGCATTTCTAAGCTGGCACGTCTTTGTTGTGCATGCTCTCACCGAATAACACTGAGAGTACAAATATGGCTGCCTCAGATATTTCATCAGGTCTAAAAATAGATAAACTATTTTTGACGTAAGGTGCTTACCAGGCTCTTATTTTAGAAACAACATGCAGTTCTATAGTACTGCATACGTGGATTCCAGTGCCCGTGTTTTCATTTCCATCCATTGCATAAAAAATAATGAAGTTTTGTCTCATTACACTTGAGAAATAATTACCGGTATGTATCAGTACTTCATGTATACGTGCACTAAATTTTGCCCATAAGTAACCATGTTCATTTGGATAGAAAATTGATTGTAAATGAAGTCAATACCATTTCACATGGTCATCATAATATACCCGAACTAAGAACTTAACCAATCCGTGGTCTTTGTTTTAAGTAACAACGAGTTGGATTGTGTCACCCCTCATGGCAATTCACGTGGAAGGCAAATACCAAATATTAGTATTAGACCAAGAAACTATTGATATTTGGGAATAAAAACACTAATGTCTTTAGAGTCCTGAGTCATTCCGCTTAGGGGCCAGATTTATTCCCCTGGTGATAAAGCGTGAGATATCTTTTTATGTCTCAGCGTAGGACCAGATTTCACATCAGTCAAACTAGTAATTAACATCCTGTTATTCTAGATTCCAGGATTGTCTTGTTTTCTTATCGTCATATCAGTACCTACTATGTAACTCACCAGTACCTTGTGTGGGATCATGCTGAGGGTTTTTTGACATTGTCGTCGAACACATGTTCAAATTCTGACCAGTTACTGCGTTCTCTCTCTCTCTCTCTCTCTCTCTCTATGCTATAGGTGCATAATCTATAGAGAGAGAGAGAGAGATCTTCACTTAAGTTAGTGTCTAATAAGGACATTTCATCCCATTGTCTACCCTACACAGGGATAGACAAATAGAATTTTGCATTACTTGCCCTCGGACAGGTTATCATCATAAAATTACTTGTCCTACCAAAAAATATGTTTGTCCGACCTGTTTCTTAATTTTTAAAAACAAAATCATTAACATTAAATTATTTCTCAACTGAGACACTACACGGGAATCAACCTAGATCTAAAATCAATAAATTCTCCCAGATTTCTTTCGATATTTTCAGGGCATTGGTAAAGTCAAAGTTTCATTCTATTCTCCTCAAAATTCTTCAATAAGATACTCCATATACTTTCTTTGAATAAATTTAATGAAAAAGGTGAAGATGATCTCAAAAAACCTACAAATGAGACAAATCTGTGAACACTACTGCATGCCGATTGAGCTATCGACTTCATGACTATGTGATTGCCAATCAACAACCAATTTTAATAACAGTAGCACGTCTGTATTCACAGAATGAATTTAATATTTTGTCAATAAAAAAAGTCTAAAATCCAATTCAACTTTTTTGACGACATCGGAAGATGTCATGTTTTACGACTTGCGTTTATTTTAACAACACATTCATGGGTAAATTCTAGAGAAGTTCCGACCGAGTATTCAATAGTGGTCAACAGCAGCGAAAACAGATGCTTTGTTGTGATTCATGATATTTTAAAAGCGGTAACACAAAAGACATATTGAGTATATGATTTTTTGTAAATGGGAAAAAGCACTTGTCCGCGGGCAGGCACCACTTATCAAATAACTTGCCCACTAAACAAAATTGGTTGTCCCGGGCGTCGGGCAATGCTATTTGTCTAGCCCTGGCCTACAGTGATATCCCTGGCCTGTTCTGGAGTCTTCAATCCATTATTTAATAGTATGAAAGAAGGATGACTTTTGCTGTTATACATCCGCTAGCTAAGTCGTTTCAAGACTTGGTGTTATTTACTTAAGATGATTGATTAATTCATGTGTTCAGTTTGTTTATTGTCTAGATGAATAATTGGGGGGAGGGGGGGGGGGGGCTTTCTTTTAACTGTGTTGTATATATAACTCGGGAGAGGGGGGCTGTCTTTTAGCTGTACGTTGTATATATCTCGGGAGAGGGGGCTTTCTTTTAGCTGTGTTGTATTCTCTTCGGATTTCTGCTGATTTGTTATTGCTGCAGTGTCATCAAATGAGATGGGAACCTTGATCCTTTCAGCTCAGTGTCAGAATGGCTCGAGGTTTCTGACGATATGTTTAATTTTTCAGCGCATGGATTACAATTCAACCCTATAAGTGATAGAACAGACTCCGAGTCAAGCTGTAGGTCATGAAAGTGATATACAGTGTAATATAACTGTAACTAATAGATCAAACTGTTCAAAAGGTCTTCTTTGTAGAATAGTAGTGCAGAATAGTCTTACTATTAGTTATTTTCTGTTTGTCGAGGTTTCAAGACAAGTCCTTGGATCGAGCGCGAAAATACTTCCTGCTAAAGTAAAGTGTTCATCATCAGATGTTTCCTGATACAAGTGATGTATGTGATTGTTATTGCAGTTTGTGATAAATTAATCAGAAATATGCCATTCTCATGAAGACCTTGAGATAAATAATGACTTAAATGCATAATCATGCTATAGGTGCATAATTGCATATGCTTCATGCACAAATAAACTAGACTAGAGTTGATTATATTGGTAGAAGTGATATACCACCATGCAGTGGACGTAAGTCGAGACAAATGAACAAATTGTATTTGATTCTGTGACTTGCACGACTTGTCTTTAGTCGTTTTAAAACAAAATTTGCACGTTTTAACAGGGTCACAATATTAACATAAGAAAATTCAAAATGTAACAAGGCTTCAGTATCTTGCGCCTTTTTGTTTTATATGCAAAATACTTTTGTTACATTATTTTTAATACAGTGTATTGTTATTATTTTCATTGAATAATTTTATTCTGATTGTAACGTAAATAGAGGATATTCAATGTTTTGTAGTTGGATATGGAATTTATTTCAGAGTGGGACAGATTTCTTGATATTTTCACGAGTGCGAAGCACGAGTGAAAATATTAAAAAAAATCCTGTTTCAAGAGTGACAACACAGTGTGCGATGACACGATGACGCGATGGCACGATGAAGCAATAGTGCGATGACGCTATGGTGCGATAGCGAGGACACGATGGTGCGATGACGATGGCGCGATGGTACGATGACGATGAAGCGATGTTCACTATTGCTCCGTCGTGCTATCGCACCATCGTCATAGCATTGTCATGCCATCGCATCATCGTCTTCGCGCTATCGTCATCGCACCGTCGCTTCATCGTTTACGTTATCGCATTATCGCGCCATCGACCCTTTAGTCGATGCTCGATGGTGCGATAGTGAACTGCATGGCCCTATCCGGGTTCCATAAATATATATTGTAAATAAATGTAAATTGGGTTACACGTGGCATGAGAGAAATCTACAAGGAATTGTACATGTAAAGTACATGTCGAAGTTAAGTTACGGTTTCTTACCAATTGTTAATCGTCATTAATAAACTTCAAAGCGCATGAAAAAGCCGATAACAAGGTGAAACAGTACTCTCATTTTCTTAATAAGATGTCTTTGATTAAGTTTAGCGTTGCAAGGAGATGCGCAAGAATAATGACGGTAACCACGTATTGGATAGCGTCTTGTAACAAGAGTTAAACAAGAGACATTATATTTCCATTGGATTCTGGAGGCTAAGATCTCAGCGATTAATTTGCAGTGATAGACGATATTATTCACTCGAACATTGCCTGTCAATTTGCCAAACATAAGCCACACGTATAAATCCCTGGCGTGACGATACGAGTGATCGCCATTTACAAAAATGCATGACGGATGCGGTGTGGTAACGCCTCTTGGACTGGCCCTTATGATGTGCACTCATTATTCCATCATTGATTCCTAGTCCCCGGGGTCCAGAAAGGATCGAGATTTTACAACCAGAAGAAAAACACAATGCCCACTTGTATAAATCGAAGGACGACTCTTTTCAATTATTCATTTACTCTGGACACCGGCAGTTGGTAAACCAAAGGCCTTTACGGTTCACCCAAGAACGAGCTGGCCTTCTGTGCGAGACTGTAGAGTCCCATAGTAAGAAAGGCTAACCTGTTTCTGCATGGCCGTAGGAACGGGGGGGCGTCGCCCCCCCCCCCAATAATTTTGCCGATATATAGATTACTATAGTAAACATAAATACTATATGTTTGTGCCCCCTCAATAAAAACTTTTTTTTTTACTTATCAAGGAATTTTTGGTAGTTGATGACCTTTTTTTGTGCCCCCCAAACTGAAATTGCTTCCTACGGGCCTGTTCTGTGCGTCCAGTTGTTACATGCTTTGAAATGCGCAAAGTTTATGATAAAGGCCAACTTCAAATGTCACTTTTTTAGTTCATAGTGTATTTTTCTTCCCTCCTGCACAACATAAGTAAGATTTTTCTGAAATGGAACCCTCGATATTTCATTTCAAACGTCAAAGAAAATTGGACGTCTGTGAATAAATTCATTAAAGTCAAGAATAATTTGAAATTAGCATAACCCTGAGGGCTTTATTTACCCTTTGTGTTTGAGATGAGAAGACATGATTTTCAGATAAAGAACAGGAAGTTTTGATAGTGTTTTACATGTCGGAGTTTTATGAATGTGCATCAGAATAAATTAGTGCAGATACCTAATTCTTACGAATCCCCCCTTAAATGTGGTAAATAAACTGTATATTGCAGAATACCGATACCAGTGAGCTTTCATGAACTGTCTCCGATATTTGTTAAAAGTTTCTTATATATATATCATATACGAACTGTTTGTCAGTACGTTTCATGGATAAATGTACATGATTTTTTTTTATTATTTAATATTTCTTTATGTATTTCCATCATGGACTTCTGCTCTTTACAATAATTGCTTCTTTTATGGTGTCATTTTGCTCGAGAGCAGTTTGCTTTACCATAGCAATCAGCCACGGGGACGTTTAAAACCAAAAAAAGAAAGTCCATAATATTTTCAAAGAAACTTTGGCGATATCTAAATAAGAAGAGTACGATGTACAGTTTACAGGATTAAAACTTTTTTTTTTTAATGTACAATGTCTAATTATGTAAAATACGATTGGTGCTGCGGATGTATTTCAAACGAACTGACGATGTAATGGTGATGCTGTGTATAGAATAAAAATTCAAGACATGAAGAAACAGTGCGTAAATGTGGATTGATAGAAAAATCCTTAAATTCTTGACTCATTATTTTTAAGAATGCGTAAAGATTTTTTAACAGCTTTTCTCCCTCCCGTAGATGTCAATTTAATTCAGACCCTTTTCAATTGCGCTAAAACAAAAATTTTGATATTTTTATCTACAGTGTTGAAATATATTTATATATTTCACAAGCCCAAGTTTGGAAATTTCATTTCATGTGAGACATCACTTAAGCTCTCCATTCTTCTGATTTCTGTATGTATTCGGTTTTTTAGGTCACCTGAGTAAACTCAGGTGACCTATTGCTATCCGTTTTCGTCCGTCGTCGTACGTCGTTCGTCGTGCGTCGGTCGTAAACTTTTGAACATTTTCAGCTTCTTCTCTAAAACCGCTCAACAATTTCAACCAAATTTGGCATATAGCATTTATGGGTGAAGGGGAACAAAAATTGTGAATTTTATGGTCCCTGCTCCCCTGGGGCCTGAGGGGTGGGGCTAAAACCACCAAAATTAATGCAATCTTTAAAAATCTTCTTCTTTATTCCTGGACATCAAGCAGTCAAACTGTTGGCATCATTGTAATAAGCATTGAGCCCTCTACCAAAATTGTGAAATTCTTGGCCCCAGGGTCAGGGGTTCTGGTGCTAGGGTGGGGCTATATAGATCACATAGTGAAAGTGCATTATTTCTTTGAAAATCTTCTTCTCTGCTCCTGGGTATCAAATAAACTAACTAAGTACATAGTTATCAAGAGCAAGAATGTCTCTTCCAAAATTGTGAATTTCATGGCCCCAGGGTCAGGGGTTCTGGTGTTAGGGCGGGGCTATATTGATTATATGGTGAAAATGCATCAATTCTTTGAAAATCTTCTTCTCTGTTCCTGGGTATTAAAAAAACAAACCAAGTATAAAGTTATGATGAGCAAGAGTGCCTCTTCCGAAATTGTGAATTTCATAGCCCCAGGGTCAGGGGTTCTGATGTTAGGGCGGGGCTCTATTGATTATATAGTGAAAATGCATTAATTCTTTTAAAATCTTCTTCTCTGCTTCTGGGTATTAAATAAAGTAACAAAGTACATAGTTATGATGAGCAAGAGTGCCTCTTCCAAAATTGTGAATTTCATGGCCCCAGGGTCAGGGGTTCTGGTGTTGGGGGGGGGGGGGGCTCTATTGACTATATAGTGAAAATGCATTAATTCTTTGAAAATCTTCTTCTCTGCTTCTTGGTATTAAATAAACTGACTAAGAACATAGATTGATGAGCATGGCTGCCTTTTCAGAAATTGTGAATTTCATGGCCCCTGGGTCAGGGGTTCAGGTGTTGGGGGGGGGGTCTCTTGATTATTTGCATTAATTCTTTGAAAATCTTCTTCTCTACTCCCGGGTATTAAATAAACTAACTTAGTGCATAGTTATGATGAGCATGGTTTCCTCTTCGAAAATTGTGAATTTCATGGCCCCTGGGTCAGGGGTTCTGGTGTCAGGGTGGGGCTCAATTGGTACATATAGTGAAAATGCATTATTTCTTTGAAAATCTTCTCTGTTACTGGATATTAAATAAACTAAGTGCGTAGTTATGATGAGCAAGAATGCCTCCTCAGAAATTGTGAATTTTGTGGCCCCTGGATGAAGGGTTCTGGTGTTAGGTCAGGGCTCTATTGATATATAAGGAAAATGCATAAATTCTTTCGAAATCTTCTTCTCTGCTCCTTGGTATTGTTCAAACAAAGGAAGTGCATGGTTATGATAAGGAAGAATGCCTCTTCCAAAATTGTGCAATTCATGGCCCCTGGGTCAGGGGTTCTTCTGAGGGGGGGGGGGGGGCTCTCTGTTGATTTTATAGTGAAAATGCATAATTTCTTTCAAAATATTTTTTCTACTACTGGTAATAAAGCAAAGAAACAAGTGTATAGTTATGATGAGCAAAGTGCTTCTTCCAGAATTATTAGTTCATAGCCCCTGGTAAGATTTTCTGGTGTAAAGGGGGAGGGGGGTTTTATTTATTTAATAACATAGTGAACATGCATTTCTTTGAAAGTCTTGTATTCTTCTGGGCATATTCGAGGCAAACAGAGTAAAAGTTTTAATATGCAAGGGTATTTTTACCAGAATTTTGAACACCTGGATTATTTAGTCAAGTATTCTGGTCCTGGCCAGGGCTCTGTGAACTTGTATTCTGCTGAGCAAAGTTATTCCCCTTTGCCATTCACCTTTGATAATTAATCACTGTAAATAATGTATTTGAAAGGTTAATAGAATAAGAGAATTATGCAAGAATATTTATTGTATAATACAAAAAGTACTTTCATAGTTTTAATGATCAGGTGGACTTGGAAATAATAGATGAATAAAAGTGAGGCAAAAATAACTTATCTTTTTAATGTTCTTCAAAGGCCAAGAGAGACCAATGTGAGAAGTCATAATATGGGGTTAAAAATAGACATTTTGTTAATAGTCTGCATGGTAGTAGTGATAAATGGGGGACAGATAGATTCTATACCAATTATTTTGTTGATGCTTATCATACTATTTTTCTTGCTTTTGGGCAACAAAGCTTCATTTATCAGTGTATGGATCCTCTAAATTGTTGTATTGTACTCAGGTGACCGTTAAGGCCCTTGGGTCTCTTGTTTTTAATTATCGTGAAAATATTTCTGGTTTCAGATGACTCTGTTTCTGATTGTTCCCACCATTTTTGCTGCACATGCAACCAGTCCTCCATGTCTAGAACAACAACCCACGAAATCAGTGAATACAGCCTCGACAGCATTAGCTGTACGTCCGACTACGAACGACAAAGCCTCGACTTCGAGCGACATAGCTCAGAAGAGGAACTGTCCACAATACACAAGGAGATCGCATCAGAAAAACGAAAATGGTCTCATGCTCATTCATTAAGTTGCGACAGTACCGGAAGTGTTGATGAGGAAGTCAAAGAACTAATGTTGGAACCGCAACCGATCATGTTTAGTTCTTCACCTCCAAAGGACATATCTGTCGATTATACTACATGTATTTCATTTGACCATGAAAATGAACAGAATTGTGAAGGAACTATCCATCTCATAGTTGGACCAGGGTCTCAAACTTCTAGTTTTAGATCAGAAAACTCATGTGATGTAGTTTTAAGCAAAGATAAAAAGAAACACCAAGCTATTACTCCAAACTCTAAATTGTCTTTTCCAAAGGGAGCGGTCCCGGCGTTAATATCGCCAAGAAAACGACATCGCAAGATTTCAGTCTCGGAAAACGGAAGTGAATATCAATCATCCGCCGTGAGGCGACCCAGTCTTGACTTCGAGAAAATGCAGGTTTGTTAAATATCTTTTTTTTTCATTTTTGTAAAAAAAAAATAAATAAAACCGTACTAAAATTTGACGATATGTATCATTTATTGATCGGTGTTGATAAAGACTTCATATATGGCAGATGTTTAATTTTTGAACCAAGATGATAAACCTCACTAAGATCGTTACTCATTCAGCATATCAGAATAAAAATTTTTAGTTGCACATCCTTTGATATAAAAATAGTAATAATGTTAATAAAAGCCACTCGTAACTTAGTTATCTTACTTCTCACTGACCCGACCTTTATTTTTATAGTTTCTCGGTAGCCTAGTGGTAGGGTGCTTGCTTTGTGATCGGGATGTCCGGGTTCGATTCTCGTTCCCAGCGCCGCGTCAATCTAAGACGTGGCTGTTTCTTCACCAAGCTCCCAGCATTAGGAGTGAAAGTCAAGGTTTTTTGGATATGACCTCAAAAACGTAGGTCCCATATCACGGCATAGGCGTTGGCACGATAAATATAAGCCCTTCACCAGTGTTTATCGATATGAGTGAAAAATTCTTGCAAGGGACGAAAAACAACAAATAAGAAAATAATCACTAATTCTTTGTGTTGTTTTATTAGCGATAAGGACGTATTCACTGATTTGATATTTTTAAAATCATTTTTTGGATTTAATTCTTTAAGATTTGATAATGACGTTGAAAATTATTTTAATGGTACTGCGTTATATCGTTGTTTTCAACATTCTACTCCGGTGTGAAGGACCAAAAAGTCATTTGCCAAGTCAATATAAGAAATACTAGTAAATAACAAAATATTTCTTACGAGAACGCACCTAAAGAACAAATTACAGATGAAATAAATAAAAACTTCAAACATTTTTATATTCTAATCCGTAGATACCAAATGTATTCTAAAGATATAGATATAAAATATAAGACGTAGAATAAAACTGGGATCGGGAAATCAGAAATTGATTTCCGCAGCTTCGCCAAAGGACAAATCATTCTTCACTCTGCGCTAATTTTCCTTTGTCTTCTTCACTCGTATTTTATGTTAATTTCAGTCATTTGATTCAAATGAATCAAGCGAGATTTTAGATGTAGGTAAATAATTACTGGGCAATATGAAGACAATAACTTCTGGCTAACGAAATCAACCCCCAGTGTTGTTTAGAAAGTTTTATATCAAAATATTGAACATGCAGCCTCTTTAAGCAAAAAAGTTCATTGTCCGCTTTAATTACTTTGTGTGATTTCCTAATTTTCCTTACAACACGGCCAGGAGACAAATAAACATGTACAGTGTTTGATGTATCACTGGGTTTCCTGTTCAAGTCTGGTTAACACAAATTCCATCTCGCTGGCTGTAACTTTAAAAGTTCTGTGGCCTGAAAAGCCTGCATTGATAAATATTCTGTAAACTTACTGGACAGTGTAGCAAATTTATAGCGAAAAGTATGTGAAGGTAAAGTAATAGGCTACATCAGTACATGTACGATATCAAAGTTTTCTTTTTTTATTCACTAGCTGCAAAGGTCAAGGTCGTACACTTAATGCAGGAATATGTTTTTATTCGTACAATTTGGTGGCGAAAGTACCTCAAGTGCGATCTGAGCAAATAAACTAAGCGAGATAGAACATTACGTCCGCATTCGTCAATGGGAGGAAATGAGCTTTTAAAATGTGGACCAAATAATAACTGCATCCGGTATAGCCTGTGTGACGTTGTATTTATAGAAAAGAGGCAATACCAAACGGGGCTGCATGCAGGATAATAAATAATATAAACAGTTTGCTGTTTCTGCATGTTAAACTAGACACGAAAAGGACAGAGTCTTTATGGGAAAAATTAAAATCGTGACACGAATAACAAGCAAACCACCTTTTCTTTTGATGAGCATACATTTACCGAGAGTCTCAATAAACTCGCTCGTGAACATGAGCGGAAGCGTTTTTGCGCTATTTGAAAGCAGCTCAAGGACTTAACAATGCTAATATTATAGGATTTAAGATCCATTTGGCAAAATTTCAGTACGCTACATCAAGCTTGCTCTTATCCACGAGAGGGTCTTCAATCTCCAAGTGCTGTCTTTTCAGCGCCTTTGTTGCTGTGTCTGCCTTTTAACATAGCTCTATAGAAAATCTATCATCATCTATTTTAATGATGGTCTGTTGATTATATTTGTTATATCTATACAGTCTGATTACATGCTCGCATGTTTCTCTGACTGTGATGTCGTTAAACGAGAACCGATGTGCTGTGGACAAGTCATCCTCTATATTTAAGGCAGATTTTTGTTTGTTTGTTTGTTTGTTTTGACATGGGATGCTCTTCAGAGAAATAGAACTGTTGACCTGAACAATCTGCTCAGAGATTGGTCTTGATGAATTGAAAGACGACTTGTTGTGACATATTGAACTCTGAGAGCTGTGAATTACCTAGGTCTGAGTCTGAATGATTGAACGATCTTCGATAAATATATCGATCACCTTCAAATGAATAATTGCTGGTTTAGGAAAATCGGACTCGCATGCATTGCCATGTTTATGAAACAATTAATTGCCAATCTCTGATTGATCTAAATACTCCCCTGAGCAATAAGGGGTAAATAGGTTGGACTTAGTTTTCCATGTGAGTGGTTTTGTTCTACGATGTACACATTTAAGAAGAGTTAATAAAATCTCGTCTTTTTTCTGCTCCCTTTGTACGGAAATGAGAATAAATTTTTAAAGGTTTAGGTGGAAGTTTAGAGATAATTAGCATTTACTTAGAATTGTCCGACTCTTGTTTTTATCTTGATCCCAAGGAAATAATTATGTATCTTTTACTGATGTTTTTTTTAAATTAATTTTTAATGTTATGAAGACTGGATGCGTGATACTTTATTATAATACAGGGATCTAAAACCTGCACGACTGGATTTTTTTACTTCTGTGTTCGGAGATTGTTATGTATATACATGCAACTATGAATACGAATAACTTTAAAAAGTTGCACACCTTCTTTTCAAAGTTCTTAATAAATACAGAGGTTTTCAGAGTCATGGACGAAAAGATTCCAAGAACTCAGGGTAACTTTTTAAACATTTTCGTTTTACGACCAAATTTCCATGTGGTAAAAATACTTTATTACCCTTAAGTGCTTATCGCATTACTGAAAAAAAAGAAGTGCCTTTGAAATATAAAAATACACTTCTCAGAAAGCAAGTTGTTGTAATGGGCTGTAAACATGGTCTTTGCAAAATTGCGGTGAAATCGGATACAAGTCTGACAACATAAGAGAAACACCTGAGCAGTTCATCTAGATTGGCTTGATTATGGCTCTAATAAATATTTTACAGGATTACGTAGAAGGCAATTGGCCGGTATTGTAGCCTTTCTGCTGATTCAGCCACTGGCAAGGTGCCATCAACTTAATGGTCAATGTATTTCTCATTGGATGGTCATCTATATAGTGCTATAGATAGGTATAATGAACCCAGAGCGAAGTGGCTAAACACTGATAATGTTTAGAAATGTTACTGCATGGTTCCTGATTTCTTTGAGGTATTTGAACTGCATTTGAAACAGTAGCTACGAGAATACATGCCAACATTTGTAAAAGACTCACAGCTTAAGAAATAAGTAGGAGTTTGCAAAAAGCTATAAATTACACACAGAAACATCAATGCCGTAAAATATATACAATTTCCGTTTTAACTGAATGGTACATGTATATGATCATTGATACATTAGGCAATACTGGATGTTCTTTGCTTAGAGCAACGTAACATCAATTGCGCAGCCTAATATGAAAATCAGCATAAATAATGACGCAATCGCACTCCTAATAATGAAACACGCGACCAGGTAAAGAGATGTCCATCAGAAGTAAAACCTAATCTCGATTCTTTTTTTTTATACACATGAATAGTTCTCTTTTTTCTGCTGATTTTTTTTCTTTTTTTTTTTTTAATGATGAACATTTTTATAAATTTAATTTCTGGATCATTAACTCTTATGAAAGAAGACAATTTGTAATTTATGTCCCTTGGTTAATTAATGAACATAAAAGAAACAAATCCTGTGTGCAAAACTTGTGTTGCTTGAAAGAGAAAAAATGTATTCAATTTTTTTTTCTCTTATCAGTGTTGATATAATGGCATATCAATCCGAGGAAGTTTTGTATGATGGGGCTGGATACGTTTAACTTCCCACAAAAGCATGAAATTCTTCATAACATTATTAATCTGTTTTTAAGCCTCTTCCTTTGATTACATTAAATAAAGCAAGAGTCGGTATAATTAGGTATTGATTGGGTTCTGTAGCATTGTTCTTGTACGCCGCGGCTATTCCAAGAGTCCAAACAGCTCAACAATAGACAATGTTTCCTTTAAGAGGTGTAAAAATATTTGATCTCCACGGGGGAACGACGAATTATGTGAAATTCTTGCAGAACTCGTCACAAAATAGTTGCGCGGTAAAAGACGTCACTAGAAGGGTACTACCTCAGATATCCGACCAAGACTTTAGATGCAGTGTTTCTTTTATTTTTGATTTTATATTTGAAAATGGCGTGCATACAATTTATAATTATTGAGTATAAGTATTTTAAACACAGCCTGATATTTATCAGTTATTTATGTTAAGGATTAGAGGTGTATAGAATCCCCTTTTTTACTGCTTCTCCAGGTGTAATGTTTTTTTTTTTTGCAGTTTTTGTTTATGAAGTTAAATCATGTCATTTGAATGATCAACATTTAGATAACACTTCGTTCAAAATCTTTTTTTATCAAAGCTTTATATATATATATATATATATATATATATATATATATATATATATACACACACACATATATTAGTGTTATGTGTTAGTCATATGTTAGGTCGATTGCCTGAAGGTTTCATTTAGGTTCAGTCTTTAAAGGCTATACATGGAAGCCATGCCATATTTAGTATGCTACATCGCTTGAAGGAGTGAGGAGAATTTGTCAAGTGTATATAAAACATTATAAAGGATCCTCTGATTTACAGGGG